AAATATGAAAAGTGCATGATCTTATTCGCATGGAACACTATGGTAAACCAAAGATGGTTTCGAAATGAGAATTTTTGCGCTTTTGAGAGGAAAAGCTCTATTTTGATAAGCTCTTTTGGAATTTTCCTCTTTTTACTGAGAATATTTCCAATTTTGCAAATTTCAACAATACCCTGTTACAAAAGACGCACACAAACAGACGATAAAATCACGTTTTCCAGGCTTAATGTGTTCGAGCTTCACACTGTTTACTCAAATACACTCCTGATTCGCAATTTGACCACTTTAGTGCTTTATTGGAGGCAAAAATGGACGTGGTCGGAACAACCAATGTGTTGCCGAAACGCGTCCATTTTTTCAATATTCGCAGAAATAATGGGTTGAGCATGCGAATTTCGGTCGGCGATGCACATTTTGTTTGCCTAAGATTCCAATATAAAGGCTAACACAAATTTAATTACTAACACTTGGCGCGCCACAAATTGCGCCATTAACACGCTACTAGCAAGCCGTCGGTCCGTTTTTATTAAAATCCCAAAACGAGCTCGTGGAGGAGAGGAAGCGCGGCAAATTGAGATTTTGAACGAGCCTCCGCCGAAAGCTGCTGCACGCCATCGGTCATGGAAAAACGTTTGTGGAGAAAGCAAGTTCGATGAGAGGGAATTTTAGAATATTCCTAAATTGAAAGTCAAATGGATTAAATCATGGAAAAGACAGTAATACCGTTATCAATACTAAAAATTTGGGGAAAAAAATTCTTGAAAATCAAAATTGTTCAAGCAATTTTGATCATGCTTTTTTTTCATTGATGGTTCTATAAAAATAACACACTACATGTTTTTATATTTTTTGCAGAAAATCGAATAGAAAACAAAAAAATTTCTAAAATAAGGAACAATGACCGTTGTCCATCTAGAAAAACCATGCAAAATGGCAACAAATTCCGCGGGAAAGACTTGTTGCGATTTGCAACAGATTGAATCGAAATCCGTTTTCGGGTGAACAAATACTGGTGCAAACAAGATAATCACTCTCCCACTGGGTAAAAATGTGAGTAAAAGAGAAACGGTGGCTATTATTTTTTCTTGAGATTGCAAGGCTACGAAAAATTACCTTGCTGGACGTTTTATTTGCTCAAAAAGCTGCAAAGTTGGAAATCAGTCGAGTGGAACGAGCTTCTTTTACCGAAATCGCCGAAACTTCTTTTTATCTGCCGCAGTTATTCTCACGTCTAATGACTTTTTCACAGCGGAAAGTTGCTCCTTCCGCCAGTTTTTCTACAAAATTAGAAACTCAAGTCAATTGAAAGGACTTGAGTTAAAAACGGGATTTTTTCAGCAGAAAAGTGGATTAAAAATGGCAACGCGCTCTAAAACCCTATTATGAACGGTCCAAAAAAAAACGAGCTGAACGAGCAAAACGAAACTGTACAAGTGGTCAGAATTGTGTCTACTCCATTGCAGAGAACGTCATTTTCAAATACGAACATATTTGTGATTCATTCTCACAGAACGATTATAGGAAGAAAAGGAAAACTGTTTTCGAAAATGCAAGAAAAACGCTTACGGGATTAGAAAAAAGCTCACAGCAATAACGCACTTGAACGAACAAAGGGATACAAATTTAGTTTTCTACATAAACAAAACAATCATTGATGGAAAGCGTGACTGTTGCATAAAAATTCAATTTATGACCATCAATCTGTAAAAGGGCGATGTGAAAATTGAGAGAAAAGAAAAAATAATTGGGTGAACGCCACGAAAATCAGAAAATTGTTGTCGACTTCTGCGCATGTATGCGAACCGCATACGTCCCGTACGAAAGGGTCTCTGCGTTGGTTTTAAGTTTCAAACGGTGCTCATTTCATCCTTTGCAATCGATACAATTCAAAAAAATCCTCAAAAAGTTAATTGTTGTTTTATTTTTTTCAGTCCAAACTCCAAACCATAAAAAAAGCAAACATTAAAACATAAAAAGTTCGGATCAAAAATACATTTAAGAAACGAGGTTTTTCAATTCCTTCAACAATTTCGAAAAAAATTCAATTGAATTTAAAAAGACTTCTTATTCTGTGAAACCAAGAACAGCAGTACACTCATATAAAAAAAAAAAAATTAAAATGAGAGTTTATGAAAAACCACCGGTAAACAAGGAAGAATCATCGGTTTGCATGTGCCTAATGTGAACTTTCACTTATGAATTCAAATATCACAGCCACTGTGCAAAATACCACAAAACTGCTCTCCGTATGGCAATAAATGACGGGGCGAATTGTCTCAGCTACTGTCCGAGGCGATGGCGAACTTTCCTCTGAATGGCGCTCCGCCGTAATACTTTCTTCCTTCTGCTTTGCCATCTTCCATACGCATTAGAAGAAAAAATATTGAGGTGATACAGGGGTTGTGCTTGAGCCGGCCTATTAACCTTTCAAGAAAAAAATTTTCAGCTAAAGTTTTCAAAAGTATGGCAATTGAAAGTTCATGGCGCCGTAGCGCAACAGGGAGTGTGTTTCTCCAGGGTCCAAAGGACCGCTAGTTTGATCCTTGCAGTAAATCAAACAAGGAGTTTGAAAATTATTAGAAGTAGCCCCAGTCGTTACACATCTTGAAGAATGTGTCACTAGAGCCAGTCGACTGTTTATCAGGGCCTTGCGTCATGGACTGAGAGCGCCGACGCTGCTCAAGCAGTACAAAGATGTGAGAATGAGATTAGTTTACGCCATCAAAACAGAAACTTCATTGAGAGCCTTATAACTTTTGGGAAAAAAAGTTGGAAAAAAATTAATACATTTTCTGAAGAGCTACTCTCACTTCACACCGAATCCTGAGCATCCAGAGTTTTCTTCTTTTATTTTTTCTTGAATTTTCGCAGTCATCTGCCTTATCTTCGAAATTCGGAATCGCATATATAATGGCTTAACTCGTGCAATTGGAAACAACCAATTCAATAAAAAAAACAAATCAAAATGAGAGTTTATGAAAAACCATCGGTAAAAAAGGAAGAATCATCAGACTTGGCAGCTCGTTTTTAAATTTTAAATGAAAATTTTGAAAGTAGCCTAGTTCTTGCCCAGAAAAAATCAATATCATGTTCTTAGTATTCATTACTTTCCCTTCAATTGCACGAACTTCCGTTTAAAATCTTCACTCGAACTGTTCGCTCCCATTCTGAGGCTTCCACCTAGAGCACGGTCTCCGAGCTCCAGCTACACCATCCACTACATTCTGAGCTTGTCAAGGCGCAACTAGATGAACTACGCGCGAAAGAACGATGCGAAAGACCGTAAGATCATGCTTTCAACTCCTTCGACTACACGTTTGTACTTCAAGTTCGCCGAAGGCGGTTGTTCGTTATAGCTTTTAAAGTTTTTGTTCACCGCCTAGTCGATTACATCAGACTAAAACAACTAAATAAATGATTTGATTTGAACTAACAGGAGAGTTTCGCTTGAGTTCTGGCTGTTTCTCCATTTTTCTAAACGCTCACAAATTTGTAAAAATCACCAAGATGGAATCAAAGACATCGTGGAAAAAAATAATTGAAAGTGTAAATACCTCAGCAGAAAAACTTTATAAACTCCGTTGGTCTCGAATGAACATGTGTTCTACGTTATAAAATAAATTTTCATGGCGGAACGGAAGATTTTATGGGCAGGACGTAAGTGATTACTTTCAGATGACAAAAAAAAACTTTAAATGGTGGAAAACGCACAAAATGATCAAAGGAAAGTGATAACGTCCAAAATTAACATAAAAATACGTTATTTCAAATTAATTATATCTGAAAAAAAACGTTTGTTTGTTCGAAGAGAAAAACTTGATAATGAAAAATTGTAAAATGAAAGGCTCTATTAGATTCTGAGAGGTAGAAACAGCCAAACTGATCTCTCAGAACTTCTTTATTGTTTTGGAGCTACTGATATTCATCGATAAAGAACTAATTTTTGTTAACTTTAGAATATTCCCGCATCAACAGAACTGGACTCTAGACCAAAAAAATCTCTTTGCCGATCGAGACTACTGAAAGACTTTGAGCAAGTTTTTTGAGTAAAGCTGATACGAAAACTTCAGAAAGGGGCCTGGGGGCAAAGAAAAAGGGTTGTACGGTAACTTGAGAAGATCTTGTCTTGTCGCTTGTCCGACACATGTCGTGCCGTTGCATTATTGTCAGTTACACTCGTCTCTTCAATTATCCACGCATAAACAAACCGAAATTTGATCAGACCTGGCCAGCTATTCTTTTTCAAAAATTGTCTCGTTATCAGGAACTTGAATGTTTTCCAAGAAGCAAACATCCTATGTTATTTTTTTCTCAAGTGAAACTTGAGAAAAAAATATAAATGCAAGACAAAAAAATTTCTAATTTTTTTGAAAATTGGAAAAACTTTCACATAAAGCTTTTTTTCAGTGGACGAAATATTGAAAATTCATCCTCTTAATTTGATATTATGGTTTGCGAACGTGGTGAAATGCGATCTGCAAAAGCGGATTACGGCCTACACAAAAAAAAAATCTAGAATAAAAGCAAAAGTTGTGCACTTCCAAGACTTTCAGGGTGAAAAGAAACGAAGTAAGTTCAGAATCTCCGAATTCTGAAATATCGTTAATTAATAGTCGCCCTCTTCTTCTTTTGTTTTAATGACAACCCATGTATGTAGCCAAATCGGAATGAAAAATCGGAATGCAAAACTTTTTATTAGGATTTACAAACAATTTTTCAATTATTATCGTTTCGATGACATTTTGACAACGGTATGAGCTATTCAAATATTCAACATATATTGTAGAAGGAAAATTCCAATATCAAACCACTAAAGCAAGGAACAAACCATTTTGAGATGTGAACTGTTAAAGTCATTCAAGTTACTGGATATAGATAATCACTATTGAAAAGTACAATTTACAGGTGGATACGGATAATTTACAGACATGACAACCGTAGATGGATCGAGGATCGAATGGAATACTTGTTGGAACATTAAAAAATATTGCATTGAGATCTTATAAAGCCAGGTATTTGCCATTAGAAGAGTTTTTTTCTTCGGGTGGGGCACTGAAAAAAAAAAAGGAAATTAGTTTACGTTAGGAAAAAAAAAGTCAAAAATTCTGCAACTGAACTCACCTTGAAGGAGGCTGGGCGTATGGATTTGGAACATTTCTCGGGGGTCCAGGTGTTGCGTACGGATTGGAGACCGGCGGTCCTGAGTAGGGATACCCAGGAAGCGGCATCATTCCAGGAGGAAAAGCTCCTGGTGGAGGCGGCATTCCATAGGGTATCATTCGCGGATCTTGCATTCCTGGGTGACCTGCAGAATGAGCTTGGAACTGGTATGTAAAAAGAGGTAGCGTATCTCCAAAAAAACACTCAGTCAGAGTTTCCAAAAATTTGAGGATAAAAGATTCATCACTAGGCGCAAGAATTTCAATCACACAAATTTTGATACTTCTAGTTTTTTTTCTTGCAACTCTGAGTGCATTCAATTTGCAAAAAAATATTGAGAGCGGTAGGTTTTGTTTTTGAATGAAAAGAGCTGACTTGTATTTTTCTTGAAGGTTTTAATAAAAATGGGCTCTCATAAAATACGGCTGATTGAAAATTTTCCTTTTCGGTTTTTTGAAAAAAAAAATACCTGGTTTGAATCCTGGAGGAAATGGCGGACGAGCATGAGGAAATGGCTGAGGATACCCTTGAGGCGGTGGCACCCAACCCATAGGCCTAAAATTATTGTTTTTAAATTTATATAGAAGAAAAAGAGCTCACGGTGCTCCAGCCATTGGCATTTCTGGACGAGTTAATGAAGCTGGAGTCGGCATTCCAGTAGAAGTAGTAGATGGATGAGGAGATTGAGAAGGAAAAGCGGAAGCTGCAGCCAACGGCTTTTTCTCTTGAGATGGAGCCGCTAGAGGCTTCAACTCGGGCAGAATCTTCTCTCGGGGAGGAGTTTCTAGAGGTTTCAACTCCGAAGATGGCTGCGCTGGGGCAGCTGTTTGCTCCTCAGATGCTTTTGGGACTGGTGCATTCTTTTGTACAATCTGAGGTTTCTTTTCTCTTCTTTCTTCTTCTTCTTTTTCAGTGTTAGCTTTGGAGGAAAGTTCCTTTTTATCTTCTTCGGGAGCATTTTCAGCTCTGGCTTCTTCCTTTTTATCATCCTCCTTCCGTGTTCTTTTTACAGGCGGCTCGTCCTCCTTCTCAGGACTGTCCATTTCTTCGTCCTCAACGTCCTCCTCGTCCTCCGTTCCCTCATCCGACTCAATTTTTCGGCTGCGATTGAGTGCCTAGATTGAAAAAACCTTGAATTTGCTGTGCCTTGTGTATGACCAACCATTCGATTTGGAGCCATTCTGGGAGGAGGTGGCACTTTTTTGAAAGAACTCGGCGGGGCTCCGACCTTCCTTTCAATAGGACGTTTTCTCGTTGGCGCTGAAAGTTAAGTGATGGATTCATAATGAAACTCAGCAAAAAAAACTTACGAGAATCTTCGTCATCATCATTCCCACTCTTGTCTTCCTCTTCATCTTCACCTGGATCTTGGCTATCTTCTTCTTCTTCTTCTTCTTCATTTTCATCCTCTTCCTCATCCTTCACGTCAAACTCCTCGTCGTCAGAAACAACTCTGTTAAAAATTTTGAATGTTTTGAGTTTTATGAAAATAATTCTCCTACTTTTTTTTCTTCCGTTTGGGAATCCCTAAGCCATTCGTCGTCATCTCTTCTTCATCGTTGGAGTTTTCCTTCTCATCTTCATCTTCAGAGTCAGCAATCACCGCTCTTTTACGTGCAGACTGCACTACAGCATTTCGAAGTGGTCTTGAAGATATGGGATTTTTCTAAACTATCAACATGAAATTACCTTCCAGTTTGAGTTTTTGGCTTTTCTTCATCATCTGAATCTGAATATGCCGCCCTCTTGTTTCTCTTCTTTTTTCGATCGTCTTCCGAGTCAGAAGCCGAGAAATAGTCGTCCTCCTCTTCATCAGACTCTGACCAACCGCTCACACGTTTACTTTTTCTGAAAAACTGTAAATAGTTCAGATCAAAGCAAAAGCAGCACTTCGATCGTTTTGGAGGGGGAGGCCGATATCGAGATGATCGTCGAGTTTCTTCTTCATAATCCTCGTCAGACTCTGATCCGGAAACAACAAATTCGTCTTCACTTTCAACGACTTCCTCGCTGAAAAAAAGATAGAAGTCTCGATTGATTGTTGACAACTTACGCTTCGAAGGCCTCAGATTCATCGCTCTCCGTCTCGTTATCAACATCCAAGTCATTCAGTCGCTTTTTTTTGGCTTTTGCCTTTGGTTTCTTGACTTCTCTTTCATCTGCGTCTATGATGTTCTGCATGTCTTTTCCTCGCCCGGCTCCTCCATCTGGTCGATAAATTTCTAAACAAAAAGATGAGAATTTCTTTCTCGCAAAATTAAGAATAGTATCAAATTGAGAAACGTCAAAATACCTCCCGACGGTTTTTCGGTAACTGCGTCTCCTTCGGCAATAGCTTCATTCAAAATAGCATCGTACTCCTCTCCTTTGTAGTCGACCTGGAAACAAGCGATTTTTTGTATTTGTCCGTGTTTTGGTATCATTTTTGAAACCTTTGTTCTTGTTCGACAAGATCGTCGTCCGCTTACGATGAGGTGATCATAAGAAGGCTTTTTTTTGGTCACTTTGGATAGTTTCCTAAACGAAAAATGCAACTTTTTTGTTGATTTCGAGTTCCTGACTTCACAGCTTTTCGCTTGCTTTTACGCGTTGTTGGGTCATCTTCTTCTGAACTGCTCGAAGGAGGGAGAGCTGTATCTTTTTCCTGAAAGTACATTTTCCTTAGGTATAATCATGATGAACATACAAAAGAAATCAAGTTATTGTAGGAGATTCCGATATATTCCATCTCCCTCTTGAGTCGGTCGGCTGCTGCTTTTGCTCTTGAATATTAATCAATTAAAATTTATTCCAAAAAAAGAAATTCCATTTTTTTCGATTTTTTTCCCTCACTTTGACATATTTTTCTTTAATTTGTTTTAAAAAAATAATTTTTTTGGTTACTGAATGATTAAAAATTTTTTTCAAATAAAAAAACTGCATAAAATAAATCAGAAAAAACAAAAAAAATCTTTTTCAGAAAGAAAATGCATATTTATCTGATGATTTTTACCTTTTGTCATCGGCTGCCTTCTTCTTGAGCTGTTCTTCCAAAATGAGCGAGACTTCCTTGAGACGTTCAATCAACATTCCATGATTGCATTTTGGGCAGAACCAGTCACCATCAGGTACGAACCTTAAAAATTCCCATTCTAATCGTTTTTAGTGGAGAAAATTAACCAGAGCATCGGTTTCAGACAGAAAGTGTGCCAAGCGTCGTCGCAAGAATCGCACAAGAGAAGCTGAAAAAATGACTTCTCTATCAATTTTGCGTTATTATTAGTTACCACATCCCAGTTGTCCGACTTTCGGCATTCGCCACACAAATTGTCCCCGGTGGCCATTTTTCGTTCTTTTTGTACCTTGAAAATCTTGTCCAGTTAGTAAAAAAGTAAAATTAGAGAATCACCTCTTCGTCGTCACTGTCATCATCGTCATCTTCTTCTTCCTCCCTCTTATTTTCTCTCTTCCGTTTTTTCCGAAGTTTCCTGCAATTTAACACGAGTAAACGCTAGAAATGAACATTGGAGGTCTTGATACAATTTCAACTTGATTCATATTTAACAAGGTTAAAAATTTAGTTTTCGTGAAAAAAAAACCCAGTTTCTAATAATTTAAAGAGCAATTTTGAAGGTTTGCATATTTGCTACGTTGATTGAAATCGAGGTTTTATTTTGTTAATTCACTGAAAAATGCCAGCAAAGTAGTGTGAAATTACTTTTTTCTGAGCTTAAAACTAACTTTTTAGCCTTTTTTGAACTTGGTCGGAAATCGTCATCACTCGACTTTGCCCCTTCGTCGTCAGATTCATCAGATCCATCTTCTCCGTCTTCCCCAGATTCATCTTCACTGCTCGAGGATTTTTGCGTGTTTCGAGAATGTTCTTCCTCTTCGTCATATTCTTCTTCGATTTCTTCGACCGCTTTCTTTGAAACTCTTTCCTTGCGGCTTTTTGATTTTTTCGATGTTGCAAGCATTCTTAAATTTGTAACGGCTCGTTGAGAAGCATTCCTTCGAGGCATCACACGACGGTCAGACTGGAAAAAAATATAAATATAATCAAAAAAATTTTTCTTGAATTCCCAAAACAGCTCCGATTGAAAGAAACTTAAAACTTACCAGGTCTTCAATGGGCACCGTCTGATCTGGCTCAGAGTCTTGCTCATCATCCTCTTCTTCGGCTTTTATTTTCTCTTTTTGCTCTCGTTTCTTCAGCTTTTCTTGTTTTTGTAGCAAGACCACTTCTTTCATGAGCTTAAATTTTTTTTTTCCTAATTACTCGAGAAGTAAATAATTAGTTTACCTTGATAGCATTTTCGTCGATGAACTTGTCGAGGTAGGTACCTTTTTTGTTCTTCTCTTTCTTTTTCTCACCATTTTGCTGCTGAAAGAAAAAGTTCGCAAAGGACAATTGGAAAAAAACCTCTTTAGATTCTTCTTTCTTAACGTAACCCAAATCTTCTGATTCCAATTTGCTAACGAGTTCTTGCATTTCATCAAAGTTACTGAAAAAATGAAAACGGTAAAAAAATAGGAGCAATAACACCTCGCGACAATTTTCCAGGTGCCGCCGCTTTGATCATCGGCTTCCTCTGTATAAACTCTCAAATTGTAGTCGCCGTCTTGTTGGTAGAAATAGGTGTATCCGTATCTGTCCATGCCAACAGGTAACAGTCGCAGATCACATGTTCGAAAAGCTTGTATCATCTGCCAAGAAAACATATTTAAGTTTTTTCATTGCACGCATCTGTCTTAAAAAGTGGTAACTCACTGCTTCCCGAAGCTTTGGATTGAAATCAAACTGAATTTCACAGAGGAACTTCAGAATTTGAACTTTGCATGATACCGGAATGTGAGCGTAGCCGTATCTGTAAATAATTATTTGAGCTTTTTGTACTTTCATTTTTTTTTATTTCACTACTCTCGACGGATTTTTTTTTCAAACTCACCGTTCAATTTTCAACAGCTCTTCCTGTGTGTTTTCATTTTTTGAGAGCAACTTTTTAAGGTAATGCTCCCACGTTTCCGCTCGGACGGATGTCATCCGAGCTCTCCTGATAAGGCATAAGTGAAGTGAAATGAGCTCTTTGTTCACTGAAACGAGATAAAATGCTGATTTGGCTAAAAAGAAAATTAATAAAACCTCCTCCGTCCGCTTCAAAAGTTGTCAAGAGCTTCTCCAGTTTTTCAAAAGTGTGCGGCTTCATGCCTATAATTTATTCTTTTCACCTCAAAAGTTAGATTCCATTTTTACCTATCATTACACCAAATTTGTTGAAAAAGCTGCAGACGCTGGCAAAGTCAGGATCATTTCTTAACTGTGAAATATCGACCTGAAAAGAAATAGTTCCTAATTTTTTTCAATTTTGAAAATGCCTTGCTCACTATCAATAAGAAGAAATTCTATAACAGAAATAATTGTAAGTTTTTTGTAAAAATACTCATTGTTTCTAAATAAAAGCAAAAAATTATGTGTAACGGGAATGTTTACTTGGGGTGCGGCTGTAGACACTCTCTTGGTATCAATCTCCAGTGGATCTTCACCGTCGTCCTCTTCCTCCTCATCCGATGCTCTTATTCCTGGTTTTTCTTCTTGCTCTTCATCTGATTCGGTCATTTTTTCATCTGCCTCAGCCTAAAAGAAAATTGAAACTTTTTTCAATTCATAAAAAATTAAAGTTAAAAACCAATCTCCAAAAATTTTTTTCAGAGGAAAAGTTTAACAAAAGCTTACCTTTGGATCAGTGTAGTGAGGACTATCTGCTGACGCTTCGTCGTCCATCACCTCTGAGAATCAAAGAAATTAGTCTTCATGCAAAAATAAACAAAAACAACGAGAATATTAACGAAAAGTGGGAGCACAGATTGCTCTTTGCGGGGCTTGAGCCAAGAAAAACTTTGTTGCAGGATGAGAAGCGCAGATTATCATGTGAAAAGCCGGGTTTCAGTGCGTTGCCACGCGACGCGTCTTTTTCGAGCTATTATCAGAGACTTCCTTTGTGATCATCCTCTTTTCTTTATTTTCTTGTTCTTAACATTCCTTCTTTTTATTCTACTAATGCTGTCTTTCTTTAAACAATAAATATTTATTCTTCATACTTCATAAATTTTTTTCCTTAACTTTTTAAATAAGACAATTTTTTTGATTTCATATTTCAGCATTTTTTTCTTTTTCCTTTTTTTGGTAATGTATCGCGCATCAAATTTGTGTTTAATAGTTTAAAAAAATTTTTTTGTTGTATTGACGTTTAAAATAATTTCATATCAAATTATTTGAGAAAATGCGATGAGCGTTCAAAATCTCAAGAATTAATGGCGTGTTCATTGGAGAAAAGGAACTTGTTTCCAAACGCAAAAGTTTGTTTATTGGCGCGCTAAAGTCAGTTCAATACAGTAAAAAATTTTGTTTTGGAGCATTTTTTGCGTTTTGGAACAATTTCCGTTTTGTCCGATGAACACGCCGTAATAATATTTTTTCAAGCCAGCGTTGACTGAAACATCCGTTAAATCTGAAATTAGATAGTATAGTCTATTTAGATTTTGATTGTCAATCAGCTAACTCCGCAACTGCTGAGACGATACCTTTTCGCGTCGATGTTTTTATTGCACGGGACAATTTTTTTGATCTTTTTGAACTAATATAAAAGATCAAAAAAAGTCAAAAACTGCAGCGGTGGAGTTAGCTGCTTGACATTCTAAATTTAAACAGATTATACAAGCTCGCGTAATCTCCAATACCTATAATAAAAAAATTAAATTTTTTTCACAAAGAAATTTTTTTCAGAAAATGTATCGGCAGTTATCACCCGAATTCAGCGTCTATTGCCCTTTCTGGCCTTGCGACCGAACGTGTGGATTATTTCATAAAAAAACTTCATAAACACAACAAGTTAGTATGCTTTCTGAGTTTTTTTCCACTGCAGAATAAAAAAATCAAAACGAACGAGTTAAAAAAAATTATAATTGTAACGCTCTCCAAATGTTGCAAAAAATGGTCAAGACACAATTTGCAATCAGCAAAAACAAATAAAATAATTATCCAAAAATTTGTCAATGCTCATCAAAAAAATTTGAGCAAGGAAAAAAAAATATTATTATAAAGAACACAATAAGTGAACAAAAAACCTCAACAAAAAAAAAGAATTACATGTGAAAAGTTACAGAACTAAGAAGGAAAAAAACGATATCCATGGATATCGGGGATTACAGACCGAGTAGTCTTGAATCATTCAAAGGTCGGTTTTTCCTTTCAATCGATGCCAACCAATAATTTCAGTATCTTCCGAAAATGATCCCGCATTGTTGGCATCGACTTCAAAATGGACAGTTTTTGAGGAAATCATGGAAAGGGCAGCTAAAAAGGTGACAGACGCTGCTCGAAAATATATCTGGGTTAACGCGCTCGCGCTATTTCGGGTGTGCTCAGTGGAGCATACATGCAACTAATCCATATCGCGGCAAGACCTGTTTTTCCTCCCCGTTCAAATTCCACTGTATTAGAGTTACTTTCAAAAATTTTTAAAGGTTTTTTTATAAGATTGTTCATACAGAAAACTCAATTTTTTTCACCCAGCCCGTAGAGAAACCTATCAGCTGGGAGGAAAATTTGAACTTTTGTCGATAAAACATATATTTCTATTATTACAACGCACAGACGTATTTTTTTGAACTTTTTTTATTTTTTTCTGCTTTTTTTCAAAAAAATTATTTTCAGACTTCTGCAAGTTATGAGGAAGCTCCGATGCCAGCAATATCAAAAAGTCTTCAAATACTGGCAGAGCAAAGAAATAGTACAAAAAGTATCTTATTTTCAATTCTGAAAGTTTTTTTTTTAGGTTCCTGTCAGCCGGTTCCTGCTGCTCACATTGACACAACGACAATTTATTTCGATAGGCCAATATGGGACGATGCCGAGTTGAGAAAAGATCTTCTGGATTCCGACGAAGAACATTACTTAGACGGTTCGTCACTTGATTTGATTATTATTTTTTCCAGTTAAGAATTTGGCTGAGCGTGCTGAAAAAAAAATACGTTTGTGAAAAAAATCAGCGGGCTTACAAAACAACTTTTTGCTTCAAAAAGCATTGTCATCTTCCCTGATTTCATTTCTTACCTGCGACGTAACTTTTTTTGGCCCCAAGCTGTTTTTTTAGATCGAACTTCACTGAAATGTTTTTTTCAGAAAATTTTTCAAAACTTAAAAACCAAAACAAAAAAATTTTTTTAAACCTCTCAAACAACGTTTTTTTCTTGATATTTGGGCAATTTGCGAAATTGAAAGGCTTATTACTTGGAAACAAAATCTATTTGAAGGAGGTTTTTTTCTGTTCTGGAAGTAGGAATCCTTAAAAGGCATTTTATACAAAATCAATTGAAAATACAATAAGGGATCAGAAAACGGTCTCTTGTCTGAAGAAGTCAGGGTCGTAGCTTAAATGAGTTAAATTGCACAAAAAAAGTTTGATGTAATAAAACAAATAAAACTAAAAAAAACTTTCAGTTCTGGAATATTTGAAAAATTAATTGAATAATTCGTTTATATCAATGTTTCTGAGTTCCATATTTTGTGAAAAGTATTTTAGCGCAGCATTAGTAGAGTCGACTAAAAGTTATTACTCCAAACAACTTCCCAGCATTTTCGAAGCCCATTTTGATGATTTATTCCAGGTGACCCGCCATCTTACATTGGCGACAACGAATCAGTTCTCGAAGAAATTATAAAGTGCGTTGAAAAGCTGTTTTTTCCGATACAAATTTTTTAGGTCGACAAAACATGATTATTTTTCTAATCCACTGGAGCACACACACCAAGATGAAACTATTTTAGTAAGCGATGACGAATTTGGTAGGAATTTGAGAAGTTTCAAAAGTCATTCTACATTTTCCAGATTACAGCAACGTTAATCTGGGACTTCGAAGACAGCAAAGTTAGCAGTTTCTTTCAAAATTTTTTAGTCATTCGTTTAGGTGCTGGAAGTCCGGAAATTGAAAAACGACGACTCGACTTTGCAAACGCCCCGTTTCAAGGAAGCTTGGATACTTCGTGAGGGTTAGCTAGCCCACGAAAACCATCATTCCAAAAACCCCGTTTTGATTATACTATTGAATAATTCAGGGTAATGCATTTCGCTTTTATGTACAGGCTCATTTTAATTTTTTCAGTCTTCATGTCAATAATGGTTTTTCTTAACTTCAATGGCAATCTTCTCCGACATTTCTTTCTCAGAATTATGCTCAATTTTTTGTTTTTTCGTCATCAATTGGAAAAAATTGTTCTTTTTTCTATTCTTTTGTACGTTCAATTTCAAAATTTGAAAAATGAGAAAATTCTTCGAAGAATGCATATTTCTGTTTACAATATGAACACTTTTTTTCTAAATTTTTAAGTGAGTTTCTACTGCCACCAAGCCTTATTTTGTTCAAAAAATGTGAAACTGTTCACAACCATATTCCTTACAGTTTCCAAAAGTATTTCATGATTTGTAAGGATCTGAAAAAAATGTAAAAAAATGAAAGAATCATTTTGATGGTGCTTAAAACAGATTTTCACAGTTGAAGGGAGCACAACTGACAAAAAAAAAATTGAGAGCGGATTCAATTGAACAGCTTTAAACATGAATTCGAAAAGTTATTCGTTCGCACTGTTTTCGGAGGAGTCAGTTGAAATGATTATAATGAAAAAACAAAAAAGCAATTGTGATTAGAAAGACAGTGGAGAAGTTTGTCAGGTGAGAGAAGTTCAGTTTGCAAGTTGGAAGAAGCGTTTTGGTTGGACGAACGATCAGCTCGCGGACTAGTTGCCAAGCTCTGTAGCCGCATTCGTAACGGATGGGATACTTGACGCAGTCTACGTAGTTGCGCATTGCTCTGAATCACACAATGATTTCTTATCAAAGTGAATTCTTTAAGATTTCTCATCAAGGTGCTCAGAATTGATTTCTCGTTTAACTTTTTTTCAATTTGTCAAGATATCTTCACAGTCGAAGAATTTCACTTGAAATTCCGTAACGTTTTTTTGGAGAATAGACCGCAGTACTTGATGCGCGATATTAAAATCCCAAATGATTCCAATTCGTAAGAATGTTCAAGTTTTGAAGTACATGTTGAGGCTTTAATAAACCAAGAAATAAGTTATCTGTTTTCAAAAATGGAAAAGTTGCTGAGAGGGATTATTACAAGTTTTTAATTTTATACATCAAAAAACGCTCTGGTCATAGTTCGACAATAAAATACGGTTTTCAAAATTGTATGTTTCAAAAATTCCTCTCAAGTTTCGAAAATTATGAGCTTTTTCGAGAAAAAAAAACCAGTTGAATCATGTTTAACTTTGAAAAATGAATGATTTTCAGTAAATTCAGTAAAAGTAACCCGCAAACAGCCGTGTTCTGCGGAGTCAAAGAACTTGGTCCAGTCTCTGAAATTTTTCTGGTGTCTGCCACTAGTTCAGCTTGGCACTGCATCATCTCTGCCCTAGTCAACGTCCGTGTGAAACATTCCAAATTTTGCACCATTTCTCAATAAGACATTAGGACAAATAAGTTTTTTTGGAAACTCACCACTATAGCCATCTCGACACAAAAAGTCGAGCATTTTCAAAGCTGCATCGTATTTGAAACGGGTGCTGTCGGCAGTAAAACAGACATCTTTATAAGGCTCGATGCAGACGTCGAATAGGAAAAAGTTGCTGCAAGAAAGTTATAATAAATGTTTCAGTAGGGAGCTCTCATCTGGAGGTTCCTGTCAAGAATTTTAAAGTTGGATGGTTTTCGAACTATATCTTGAGAGAAACCTAGTGTGCGCCCAACTGGCGGAACTAAGTCGCTGAAAAAAGGAGGAAGATAAAATTCACTCACTGACTAAAAGTTTAGACATTTTTAAAAATTTGAAATTTAACGGCGCATATAGTGAATATGGTCGGAAAAAGTTTTGTGTGAGTTTCGGTCAACGATGATAGAAGTTCTGAAAAACAGCATCTGAAACTTTGAAGGACTTCAAGAAAAAATCTAGCTGTTTTTCTTGATTAGTGCTCTTCGGAATGATCTAGACATGGTAATTTATTTTGGTAGCTCATCACGCAAATTTAAAAATGTTGCTAGAAAACCGTGAGAGAAAAGAATTTGAATGCTGATATAATCAAATCTGTATTTAAAACTCACTGTGGCTTCCCATTTTATCCAGATGGTCTCGAAAAATAAAAAATGAAAATGCCTACTCGCAAACGTCGCTGAAGTAAGCTTTGGTGCGATACAAAAATCCTTCCCATCCAAGCGTGTTTGTATCTTCGGAAATGGCCCCCATTTTGTACAGCGGATCCGCACATTCTTTCACCCTTCAACGTATTGTTTTGTTTGAATTCAAAAAGTTTTCTTTACTTTGCCTGCTCATTAGCTCCGCAAACTTCAGCAACCTTGATTAAAGATTCTTTGGATTTAACATCAGGCTGAAATCTCAGAGTTACCTAAACTTTTAAGTCGTGAGTCTCACCAAATATTGCACGTAGCTGTGTATCTGAGGGTGATATTGGAGCGGATTGAAGTTATTCTGGCCGCAACAGGTGCAAAAGAGGAATGAAAAGAGGAATAAGCTTGGGAGCATAATTGAAACTGAGAAGTGAGGATATGCGTGTCTGCATAACGGTAGGCGCCACTGTTTATTCGTCTTAATCTGACACACGTCATTCCATTTCCTCCTTCTCTCGAGATATTATATTTGTTTTAATATATATGGCCAATAAATATGAACCAACTGTATTCCTGAACATATTAGTTTTTTGTTGTCCGCATTCTCATTAAATTTTCTACTCTCTCCTGAAAATCCTAATGGGTCTATATAGTGTGCTCCATCCTAACAAAATCGTGAAATTTTGCAATATTTCCCTGTCAAACTGATTTTTGTCCAAATGATAAAAGCTGAAGGAACTATCTCGACTATGAAGTCCGGTACACCACTGATAAATGAGGGTAAATACGATAACAGGAGTTGATATTTAAATCAAACCACGTGTTTTCTCCTGCAGTTTCCTCGCAATGAAGCTTCTTTTTGTCTCAGGTGAGTTGGAAAAATCGAAATTATTTGTAATTTGACGAATCTTTCGCAGCTGTTTGCTTCGCCATTGCCTTCAGTGCTCCTCAGCCAAAAAAAAGAGACGACCAATGTGGAGCTGTCGACTTGAAAGTCTCCAAGAAATACGTTCCATTCCGTAGGACAACGTTTCGATCCTATATGTGAACACAAATTCAGAAGCTGACATCACTTGTGAAATTTGCTTGGACCTGGTTCTGATCGCTGAAACTTACGCCGAATGTGAAGAAGTGAGTTTATGTTGTGAGCAATTAAGAATGGAACTTCAAGGCCGTGATTGAGCACCACCTCGACGCCTACTGCGACGAGAAAGTTCACAGCAAACCTGCTGACGCCGCTTGCAGAGCCATGGTCAACCAAATTGCTCACGTTAGTTTTTCAATCTGACTCTTTATGAAATAGAACAATTTCTAAAATTTTTGACAACAAACGTCACTCTACTTAAAATGCTTCGAATAATTTCGGAACGTTCAAAAACTTGAAAATGACGCGCTTTCAACAGTTCACAAAACAAATAGATTTCTAAGCGTCATTTTCAACTCGTTTTTTTAAACTTAAACTGGTTCTGCAAAATAAAAAATCAGGCTGGAGCTATTAGTTTTGAACCAGAACAATTAATATTTCATGGATTAATTAAAACATAATAGAAAAAAATAAAAAAATAATTAATTAAAATCTGTCAATAAAAAAATTAATATTAGAATTGCAGATGATGAAAAAAATTTTTTTGATAATATAAATATTTATATAGAACTACATTCGAGGTTGGTCAGTGGGGTATTAAACTAAATTATTTATCGGACCAAGTTTTTTTATGATACCATTCTTCTGAGAAAAAATTGACATCCAGTGATTTTTGAAAAAAAGTATGAAAATGTATAAAATTATTGAAAACAGGAACTTTCTGGTGCTCCAAAAAAATTACCTCATTTCATATTTTTCAGAGAACGAAAAATGTGCCAAAAACAAAATGTTAAAACTTGCGCTATAATCACTCAATCCTATACTACAAAAACCCATGAAGTCCAAATTATTTTCAGAGTTTTCGGTTTTTTGCAGGAAGTTATCACGGACACCGAACAAAATGCTACGACAATCTGCCACAAAGTCATCCACAAGACCTGTACTTACACTATTGTTTAGTTCTGCATTTTTCAAAATTTCGTGAAATTCGCTAATTGGTGAGCAACTTTGATAAAATCGCGATTTTTTCTCTAAAAAAAACTTTTGTAGAAACGAAATGACATAAGAATCCCTAGCAAGAGCTGGCAGTAGTTGAATTCATGAAAGTGTTTCATAGCCATTGGCTTTGTTCGTTTAAAGATGTGCGCAACGACAGCTGCAGGAAGGGCGCGAGAATTGTCACTTTGCCGCTAAATTTGATTTTCTTGTTCTTACCTTTTCATGTGCAGACCGATCGACAAATTATTCAAATTGGTTTTGAAAAAGTCCAATTTCTTACGAACTTCACCGCACTCGAAGGACTGATAATCATGGCGTCGGTGAAGGCGAAATTGAAGCACGTCTCCTTTATTAGTTCAGAAGTTGTGCAAGATTATTTTTATGTTTTTTTTTAATAATTCTTCTGGTCAATCCGTTTTTCACACGATTTTCAAATAGTTTTTGAAATGTGTTCAAAACTAATTTTTTTGTGAGCGCAGAGAAAATGTTTCATTATCCTTTTTAACTTTCGTGTGGCCTTCTTTTCCGTGCTCGTCTGAGATTTAATCCGAGTCCTGAACAAGCAAGGGACCGTACTGCTCCTACATGGAGAAGCAGGTGATTGTCGTAAAATTCAAAACTCGTCTACAACTGTCACAAAAACGACGTAATGATTCATGCGCCGTTCTTGTTCAATGACAGTTTCATGAAGCAAAAAACCACTTTTCAAGTAATTCGTGATTCAGAATATAATTTTCTCTGAAGACTCAATGAAATGGTTGAATGTGCTGAAAACCGACAAAAAAAGAAGAAAGGTGTTTTTTGATTTCCCTCGAGTTTTCAGTTGAGCAGAACAATGATGACATTTGAATGGAAGAGTTCGAAAGAATTGTTGTAATGCCAGGTAAACAGTCCGTCTTGAAAGGTAATTGTAGATGGCTGAGGTCAGATGAGTGGCAGAAGTCCGCTTGTAACAAAGACCTCCGCCGGGCAATTACTCCTGGGCTGGCAACAAATTAACTGCCGTTAGAGGGTTTTTTCAGAGTTGCGTAATTGTTGCTCAAAATAACTTTTTATTTGGATCGAAATATTCCAAAAATTCAAAAATATGGAATTTAAAAAAAAGGTAATTTTTTTCTGAAAGTTACTTGCCGCAAATTAAATCCAATTTTTTCAAAATCTATTGAGATTTCTTAATGAATTTTTGAAGGCACAAAGCTAAGTGCGATACTGTTAGTACGATTAAATTCCTATTTCTTCTCAAAATTTCACAAGCTTCTTAGAGCAGCAATCGCATAACTGCTTAAAACTGAGTAAGTTCTTTTTCATTGTCTATGTAAAGTTGGGGCATCGAGGTATAGATAAACTATTCAGCCGAATAATGCAAATTTTGAAGTTTTGAGTTGAGCGAACCGTTAATAATCGATACTGTAAACTGCATAACTAAAAAAAAAATCTAGTTTCTTTTCATCGAGAAAATTTTGATTCAGTCAATTCACTGATAAACAAAGCCCCAATGCTAGGATTATCTTCATCTTACCAGGTTTGGACAAGTTAGGACAAGCAAGGTAGATAGTATCAAAGAAGTGACGAAAGACAGATGAGAGACACGCTCCTCCTTTCACTTCGCCGCGTCTTTGGTCAACACCAATCCGTCTTGTCCGTTTCAGATCGATCCCTCATTCTAGGCTGTCGAACCCGGCAATTTGTCCAATTTGCGTGTAAACAGCAGTGCCGCGCCTTTTCTACTGTAGGACTGCGCAAAAGTTGCCGTTTTTCTATGACGCAATTTAGTACGCCGTTTTGGGACCACTGGAGTATATGGTGGCGTGGGATACTGATCGTTTCGAGAGTCAATCGGGTCGTTAATTTTTGTGTGGAGTGCAACCGGATACCTGAAGGTGAATCGCGTAATGAATTGCTCATCGAGGTTTGAAGAGCTGTGACGTCATCTAGCATATGATTAGAAACCCAAGATTTTGACTGTTAGCCATGTGAAGTGATGAAAACTTCAAACACTTACGTTTTTTGTTGTTAGATCATCAAAAATTGCTTGTATTCAAGCCTCCATGTAAGACGTTCGTTTCTGGTTTGTTTTCTTTTCAAAACTTAAACTGTATTTTAGCTCCACCACAATTATCGTATTCGAAAACTCATATAATCATTGATTTACATTGGAACGACATGAGGGATATGAAATTTTGATTTTCTTCAATTTGTTCGTAGAAACCTTCAAGTTGACCCCGAAACTGCAAGCTTTGAGGAAAAATGAGCTATCTTCTTCGTAATACTGTAGCCACAGCTGGAGTACCTTGTGTATTTTCCAAGCCATTTGTTTCAACGTCGGCACTCACGCACTGAGTTTGATTTACGCAAGCAAACACCTTTCAACATTTTTTTTTGGCAGCGGTTGAAAAAAATTACCCATTGTGTGGCCGTACTGCTGCGCCCGACCGACGCCTGGACGCCGACAAACTGGCTAATCGTTGCCAAATGTTACAATTCTTTGTGGCAACTCAATCCCGAATGACCTTTCGAAGAGCTTTCCTTTGTTTGTATACCTAGCGCTGCATGTTAACGGTGAGATACGTTGGAGATACAAGAATAGTTACGGTAGGAAGCACTTGAGTAGCTGGACGACTTAATCTTCATGTCTGATTTTGTTTATTCAGAGGAAGAAGCTTAATGAAGTGCTTCTAGAGCGGCAACCATCACAACGAACCTATCTAGAGCAAGAAAACTTTCTCAGGTTTTGAATATTTCGACTAAATTATAATTTTGATGAAGTTTTGTTTTTCAACCGGTTAATTGAAAATAATGGTGAATATCTACAAACTATTGTTAGAAAAAGAGAGAAAATCTTCACAGATTTTTTTATACAGAGTTTCAGAACTCTTGAAGTTCAGCAAACAAATTCTATTGTCCTTGATCCAAAACTTCCAAAATGCGGAAAATCTGCAACTTTGGATTTCCATGACTTTGGAAATGTTGTTTTCAATCACTAGATATTTCTGCACGCTCCATTCATTTTTTTGAACTGTAAGCCATTCAAAAAAATTCAATCTTGAGCGCAATGACTTTCTTCTAGAGATCTTTGCATATAAAATTGTCAGAAAAGTTAAAAATGTTCTGTTTTACCAGTCAGAGTTTTTTCTGCGGACTGAATACAATCAACCATTTAAAATAATGTAAATTGTATTTCTTCATTGGCAATGTCAGCTAGAGCTTTCATTGTTTTTCATATTGCGAAATGGAGAAGTTTGACCTTTCGAAAAACGAAACACCCTTGAAATGCACTGCTTTGAAAGTTTTCATGGCCTCCGTTCTTCTTTCTGAGCGGATTATGTGGTCAGACAGTCGGTTTTTCCGCAACTCTTTGTTTGGAATCTCAGCGCGTTTCTTTTCGGCCCGATCGTTTCGCATAATTGTTTCAAATCTCTCAAGTTCGCTTGCACAAAGGGGGCTGTGGGGGACATGCTTGGCGACAAAGGAATCTTCGGTGCAACCAGTTATGTCTGTACGGAAACGCAACATGCACGCAAACCACAACCGTGCATTGAACCGTGAAAGAAAAGTTCTTACGGCCAAAAATCCAGCTTCTTCGATTTTGGAGAAAATCATCAAAAGTATTTTTAATAAGCGCAGTTTTTCTTTTGTCCTTGATTTGTAGATTGTTTTAAAGTTTGACTGAGAACCAGAAAAAAGCTTTATTTTCAAAATTTATTTCTTGTTGAGAATTTTCGAAATACTTGGAACCGGTTTCAATTTAAGATAATTCGATGAACAGAATTTCTTGAGACCGGATAATGTTTTCCTTGTGTTGTCGACCTCACGAAGCGCGTTCACGCGTGCTAATATCTGTCAAATAGCCCCTTGTTCGCTTCAAAAGGCGCAATCGAATTGCTCAAAGCGTGAAACCAACCGTTACAATAGTCGTAAGAAAACACAAAGAGTGAAGGGCCAGTGTTCACCAATGCATCATTTCCTTCGTCGTTGCTTTTTGGGAAGTTTTCTACGGTAATTTCGTTTTGAAAAAATAGCCGTAGCACTCGAAAATATGAGGAAAACTTCGAAAGCAAAAAATCCGACTGTTCTAGTCTTTTTTTCAAAAACGTGAAGCTTGGTCCAACATTTTTCAAGGATTTCCAAAATTTAGATCGTTTGAAAAATACGAATGAAACCAATCCTTGAAGATCGTGAGAAATAGTTTAAAAAAGCCATTCCGAAACCGTCTCGTTTTGAAATATAACTTATTGAAAATATTTCACGAAATCAACCAAAAAAAAAAGAAGATTGTTTCTCGTCTTTATGGATCTTGACTTTTCAGTTCAGCAACAGGATTATACCATAACCGAGAGTTGGGTGAAATTAAAAACGCATGGTCCATAAAGAAGAAAAGTTGGAGTATCTCTAACAGTATCTTGTGAGTACAAAAAGTCGGCGTTGGTGAGGTGTGACGTCTAATCCAAACAAAGTCAAAAAAAATTCATTGGCGGTGAGTTGCAGTAGCGCTGGCGCAACCTCCGGATTAAGGTAGCGTGTCCCAAGTTCGGACTTCCTGCCGTGATATACCAACAACGCGCAACAACTTCTCTTTGACCTCCAAAGTCGCCGCCACTTGGCTCGCGCAACCCGTGTTGCGCTGGCGAGTGTGAAAGGCAAATCTGGCACCTAGTTTGAGTTTTACTTGGAGTTCTCTCTTCAATTTGGATGTGTGCAGTTTGAACCATTTTTCCTGTTTTCTCGAAAACTAGTGCTTTACGACTAAGACCGACAGGGTTTCATAAAAAATACCAGAAAAGTTGTTTTAGCACGTTTTGAATATTTTGTATTCTGAAAACCTCAATTCCCATAATATTCCGTTTTTTGAGTAGTCTCTCAAGGTTTGCCATGAAAAGTTATAAATAAAAAAATTTGTGAATATTTTTTTTCCCTAAAAATTAATACATCTTTCATATCCAGTTGATGGAAGTTTTTCGGTCAAGTTATAGGAATTTCTGAAGTTCGAAGAAAAATAGCTTCTGCTTTTTGCAATATTGGGGTTGATTTTTGATAATTTTTAGTTTGCATTGTGAAGTGTGTAAATCGGCAAGACCTTTTTTTTGGAAGAAATAAACTTTTCAGCTTTTTGAATGCCAACATCGAGTTCTTTTCTCATTCTTTTTTTGATATGATATCAGGTTTCAAAAAATCATTTCTAGTAAAAGTATCTAAACCGAATTTGCAAATCTCATTTATAAATTTCAAATAGTTTTTCAGTCTTCCGATTACCATAAAATCTGTTGTTGGTAGATCCAGGTCATCATAAGCAAAAAGTAAAGTTTTTTGAAAATTTTCAGCCGCCAAGCCCTGAACCTGCATTTCAGTCTGCAACTTCATTGCTACAACCGTCTCGCCCGCTTTCACAAGCTTTTTTTTTCAAAATGATTCCTTGTAAAAGTTTACTCTAGACCCTGTTCTTCTATTCATTTCCAAACAAAAAGGCGATTCACACAAAAAAGGTAAACCGGCGTGCGACGAAGCAAATACAAATACAGCACAGTGCGGTATTGTGGCATACGTGAAGTGAGAACCGATATTTCAACAATGCCAGCCCCTTTGTACCTCAATTCTCAAGCATTTCACAATGTATCCGTTTGTTCGAGGTGAACAATGCAAAAAGCGTTAACCTCTCCGAAACTTTGCACAACAAGTTTTACCTGAAAAGGAAACTTTTTTCTTTTCCCTCTTTTGTCCAAAGCTGACGAAATTTTTCAAGATGTTCTGTTCTACTCAGTGTCTTTTGAAGAGAAAAAATGAGTTTCAAACGATTTCAAGTAGGCAGAAAACTGGAGAACTCGCAACAAACGACCGTAGAAGAGCCGTCGAGTTGAAGGACGCCAGAAATTGGGCGCCGAAATCAAGTTAACGCCTAGCAGATGGGCGTTTGTCTCTAAAACACTTGTGAATGCCTCGCTTCGGTTTGAGGACAAAGAAGCCTCAATGACGTAGTCACTAGACTAAGGACGGTTCTGATTGAAACAAAAAGGTACAATAGCTCTCTTGTTGCAAAATTAGTTGCCTTCTTTTTTCCCTTTGCTAGGACGACAAAAGAAAGTTTTCTTAGAATACCAGTGTCCTCTTAATATTGTCAAAAGTTTTTTTCGAAATCGAACCATGTGGTGCATCTTTAACGAAAAAATGATTTATTGCCTCAATATTCTCTGAACATCTGAGAGCTTACAAACAAAGACGATCCCATTGCTTAAATATATAGATAGGGTGCGGCGCTACTTCAACCAAAAATGTTTGTCGTTTTTGGCAAGTCTCCGAGCTTCAAATGGGCGCTACCCTATGCCATCTGATAACTCAGGAACTTTACAATAGTAACTTTTTTATGACCTCTCTTTCTCAAAAAGTCTCAGAAAACATCCATTATACCTTTCAACGCACGGTTCCACGCCTCGAAAAATCGTAATTAACTTTCTCTTGCGGTTATTTTCTTTCTTCGCGAGAACACATTACTCTCTACTCTTGTTTCTAACTGAACATTGAACAAGAAAAATATTTTCCCTCCTCGAAAAAATCAACGAGTCATCTCGTCTGGCAGAGGCCGAGTATTTGTTTTCGATTGGCATCACGCAGCGATTCGCACCAAGACTTGAATTCAACAGGAACAAAGCCACCAAATAGATCGTATTATAATGTTTATTTTTTTATTTTTTTGCGCATCTTCCTCTTTAAATTGGGGAAAAAAATAAATATACAGGCAGGGAAAGGCGTTTGTAAAATGAAAAAAATGCAATAAAATTTAAATTTCTTATCCATTGATTAGGCGTAAATTCTAATCTTTCATTAGTTTAACAAGCAGAAAATCAAAAGCAAAAAACAACAAAGTGTGAAGAATCGTCAGAGAATCATTGGATTTAGCTGCTTCAGCGATCAGCACAGTCTATATGACCCGATGGCACCATTATTGGCAAAGATTCAACAAATAAAAAGAAAGATTGCAAAGACAGGAAGCAAACAATAAAATATGAAAATTAAAGCATGTACAGAGGATTGCAAGACAGCGAAATTAAGTAGATATAGAGCTTTCGAACTGCCCGGAACACGACGATCTCAGCCGAGCTTCGTTTCTGAAAATATTCCAATATTAATCTCAGTCAGTTTTCGTTTCAAGCTATGATCTTTCAACTCAAAAGTCCGCGTCTAAGAAGTTTTATAGCTTCCCAGGTGGAACACAGTTTCAATATCATCCTCAATCCAATTCAACAGTGCATGACCCGCGATTTGTGTGTCCACGCTTTCCCTGAGGCAAAGGATGCGGCGAAATTTGAATGAATCAGAAACACCTACGAAAACGTTCAACAAACACTAAACAATGCGATTGCTGAGCGCGCTCCACCGCACATGCAACTTGTATGGAAAGAGAGGCAAATAAGACATTGGCGAAAATCGCTTTGAAATTGCGACGACCCTTTCTTCTCGCCTCTGCGCTTACTCTTAGACTTTCCAATAACAAAAGGACGTACCAGAGAAAAATGGAAGAAAAATAATGGTAGGTTTTGAAATTGCGTTGGGTCTGTTGGACAAGTTTTTTGTTATGAGATACTGCTGCTTATATTACATTGAACAAAAAGGTTAGTCGACACCTTAACAACTTGAAAATTTGGATTTATACGGGACGGTCACAACGCAGCATGAATTACGGTTCGAAACTCCAAATAACTAAATTTTCTCTTTCTGGCCAACAATTTCTCCAGGTTCTATTTTTTCGCACATATTCCAAAAAATCGGTATGAAAGTTTTTAAAGAAAAAGTTCGCGCACCAGAAATTTTGATCTAATCCGGAGTTCTGTGCTGTTTTTCAGTTAGCAGTGTTCGAGCTCACGTTTTTCGCCATGAAAAGCGTTTTTTGTTGGGTTGTTGGAGATAATACGCTTAGCCACTCAAATCATTCGGGTGTTCGAGTGATAGAAAAAAGAATTGAGCGCGGAAATCGGAGAACAAAATGTGAATTCTGGATCGAAGTAGGTAAATAACGCCGCGGGGACAATGAACGAGTTGACAGCGCTGTGCGGCAAAAGCGAAACGAGAGATTTTTTCAGTGGCACCGCCAATATTTCCAAACCCAAGTTTGCTCATTAGTCTTTCACCTTCCACACAATTGACTCGAGTGACGGGCGTGACAAAACCAAAACAATTTGGGCACGGTTTTCCATTGACGCCTTGCTCATTGCCAACAGTTCTTTGGGGCCAAACCGGCTCGCCAGTAACCTTGAGAGACACGTTTCTTTTTGCGGAAATGAGTCTCACAGTGAGGGTTAGTAACTGAAAACCGCGCGTGAAATAATGCATTTTTGCCAGAAAGATTAGTTAAAGTTCTAAACAGTCAAATATCTGCAATTTTACATTTGCGTCTTTATAAATTTTGTCAGGAAACGGTTGAAAAAAAATTCGAAATCAAATGTGCAAATTGCGGATTTGCGAATCCGCTTTAGAACTCAAAAGGAGAGGAAAAAAAGAAAGCCCTCACGTTAAAACTATAAAAACAGAGTCTAAGAATTCTATTCGTTTTTTTTTGAGTTCGTAAAGTATTATTTCAATCCAACCTATAAAAAAACACAGATAACTTTTTCTGTTCCTCTGAGAAATAAGTCAACAGAAATTACAAATAATGCTTGCCTCCATGAAAAAAATTGATTTAAGGATTTTTTTGAAAATGACGTATTTGCTGAAAAGAAGGCTTCGAGTCAGGAAGAAAAAAATTAAAAGCTATTTAAGTTTGAAATGATGAATATAAATCAATTTGGAAAGGTGACAAAAAAACCAACCTAAAAGACGTTGGTCAAACTGCCGGTGTCGTCGAATTGACTTGTGAAGCTGCGGCAACGGCAGCGGCTTGTCGGGCGTAGGCGGCCATCACATACGGTGAGTAAGGGGCTGCCAACACTGGATTGGGGAAGAACGATGAGTAGTACGAGGACAAGTCTGGCGTCTTCAAAGAATCCAACGGCGAGGTGTAGGTGAAGAGAGCGGGAGACGTGAACGGCGTGATCGGAAGTCCCAGAGGAAGTCTGCTCTGACCTTTGACGGACGACTTTGGCTTGCGCCGTGGCCGGTATTTGTAGTCTGGATGTTCCTGAACATTATATGAATAAATTTTCAAGTATAAAATTATCTTTGAAAGATTTAAACGAATAATAACTGTACCTTCATATGCAGAGCTCTGAGTCTTTTCGCTTCATCGATAAAAGGCCTTTTTTCTTGCTCTGAAAGTTGTTTCCATTCCGCTCCCAGTCGTTTACTGATTTCAGAATTGTGCATTTTCGGATTGTCCTGTAACCAATTCGTGAAAAAACGGAAAAGAATTATCTTTATGATTATTATATTAGACACAAAAATATCAGAAAAAAAGTTGTTCCTTTATCATCCCTCATAGGAGAGTTTTTAATGAGTGATTCTAACGGAATTTATCACTCCACTCTCCTCAAGTGTCTCATAAAAATGCGATAAGAAGAAGTGAGAATTTTGCAATTTCTGACCTGCGCCATCTTCCGGCGTTGCCCTCGGCTCCAGACCATGAAAGCGTTCATTGGCCGTTTAACATGGGAGTCGTTGGGCGATTTGGAATCATGAGGCGATGGCGGAGGACTTAATCCAGAAGAAACAGAGGCTGTTTCTTCATCATCAAGCACTTTCGAACTGGTTTCGATGGCAGCCACCATATTGGGGTACAGAAGTGCTATGTCGTTCATAATCTGCAAAAATCTTTTAATAGTTCCGATTAAGTTTGAATCAAGCAGAGCAAAGATGAATGGAAAGTCAACTGAAACAGAAGTAAGAACGAGAAGGCAACATAAGCGCTTGCGTGTTTCATTGTGTGCCTCGTTGGTGGAATGATAGGAGGCGGGGCCGGAGGAGGAGCGTCAGACTCACGGCCGTGGGACTACGGTAGGCCGCTGCCGCTGCCGGTGCCTTTTAACGGAACGGCAAATGCTGACCGGTTGCCGCCACGTCGGCTTTTGTATCACTACCTGCCTTTTTTTTCACAAAAATGCGTGAACGTAGTTTTGCTCTCTTCGAAATGCTTCAATTGTAAAGAGCCAAGTTGTGAGCCCTTTTCAGACAGGAAGTCAAATTGTCCAGAGTGTTAGTGAATGGGCGCTTTCTAGCATTTTTTCCCCAAAGTAAATAAGCAACTTCAATTGAGCGTGAAACGATATTTGAGTTGCCTCAGGAACTCGAGGTTTTCTACGGCTGGAAAGGTTTTCAAATCTCATAACTTAGGAACGCCTAGAAAAAAATTTCAGTATATTTCGGAAAGAAAGAAGTAATTGAAAGAAAGAAAGAAGAAATTGTGAATTTCGACTTACAACTACCGAATATTTTAACAATTTTAAATAACCATGAAAAAAATCGTAGAAAATCATCTTCAATAAAAATTAATAAACTTTTTCAGCCACAGTAATTGGATTTATTTGCTGATGAAAGTCTTTCTATCTCATACTCACGATGAATCGATTTTTAAAAAAAGTTATTGCTTTTTCTAATATCGAACTTCTTTTTTTCGTGTTTTGAGGATCTTTTGAAAAAGTCAAAGATCGAAAAAAAGCTTTTTTTAAAGAAAAAAATATCTGGGAAAAATTTTTGAAAAATTCACAAAAGAAAGTATAACCACAAGAAATATAATCAAAAGAATTGGGAGTTTTGAGCAGAATGCCGAGTACCAAATTTACTCCACGCGGAGCCATAATCAACTTTTCTCAAGTGAGATCCGCTGAATGCCTTGTTCCGCCCATTTCGTTCCAGGTGCCAATGAACATATTTCTTTTGTGAGGGTATTAAAACAAAAGAACAGTATAAAATAGGAAATAAGTTAATTTTAATCCAAGTTTTTCCTGAAGAATTCGAAGTGAACCTTTTGCAAAACTGCAAAAAATAGATGCTATATCGGGAAGATATTGAAAGAGAAAAGGTCAATGATTGCAAGAATCAAAAAATGTAACAAACGGACTTATCATAGACTCTTTCGCTAATTGTAATGGATACCCTCAGCGAAAGGCTAAACGCAATCTCAGGCCTAATTATCGCATTAACGCCATTGATCACTTGTTTGTGGAAGGTTTCCGGGTCATTCTTGCTGGTTTCCGTTGGTTATCGCTCCTGAGCCATGTCTCAATGTCTTAATTATGAGAACTTACAGAGGTCTTAGCAGAAGGTTTCATCTTTTGTTATTTCCAGAGATCGACGTGTATGATATGCATAAAGAAATTGACGTGAATGGTTGGTTTGGGCGGTCCAAATTTAGACTTTGAATGAGATACAAAAAAATCTCCAAAAAAAGTAAAGCATCAGAAGACCAAAAGTCGAAGAAAACGAAGTTCACACAAAACTCTTCAGCTTCTCATTCCAAACAACTTGCAATGTATCAAACTACAAACAATGCGAGCTTCTAAATGGATCAACTCTTCTTAGTTTGATCAGGATCAGGGTTTTTTTTTCTTGTCAAGTATCAAGTTCAAGAGCTTTCAGTGGGGTCGGAAACTAACTAGAAAAAAAATTGGCTGTGCAATAACAATGGAAAAGGCTGAGAAAAAAGCAGTCGGTATTAATTTTTACAACTGCATTGCATTTCGGTTATGAAGCAGAGCAATAAACTGAAAAATCAGTTCAATTGTTCCTTCAAACGGCGCGACCACAAAAAGAGTGTGTAGCCGACATCCTTACTTGACAAACAAAGGCTGTAAAAGATGAAGAGCGGATTAAAGCTGGTGAGTCGTACACTCTGCACTGACACATTCAAGGCGCCGGCGTCAAATCGTCAAATAATCGACGATTGGCTTGAAGGGCGTGGATTCTCAACTGGCAAGAGGAAAAAAAATTATTGAAGAAGCAAATGATTCAAAAAATAAGATTCAGTATGAGTTGCAAGATGCAGTAACGGAAATGGGAGAGTATTTGTTTGGTTTTACACTCATAATTTGTTAAAAAAACTATTGCTTTTTACCTGAAATTTCAACCAATCAAGAAATTTTTCTCACAGTTTTTCATGATTTTTTTAGTTAGCAGATTTGCTAATAAAAAAAGTTTAAAAAAAGAAAAAAACATAAAAAGTTTTACTCAGACGAAAGAAAAAGTTCGCCGATGTTCAAACCAAGAAAACTCATTAAAATGATTCCAAAGTCCTGAGGGATCGAGTCTCACGATTTTCTTTGCCGCAAATAATACACAAATTTGATTTGCCACATGCGGTATTACATGTAATTCATGCGAGTCTTTAGGGAAAAGCAACAAAACGCTGATTGGCGGGGCACAGTAGGAAGCGCGTCTAACTGGATCATTGACATATCATCCCATTTATCGTTGCTTGTGTCGCGCAAATAGAGTCGGACTCCATTTACAAGCTGAGAGGATGATGGACTCGCTTCCTAGTTACTTTTGTTCGGCAGAGGGGTTACTAATGGAAAAGCTGGAAACTATTAGAGCTAAAGCATGCTTAACAGTCCTCTGATTGAAGCTATACTTGAAAAGTCGTCAGTTTCAACTATTTAGTACTGGCAACGAAACTTTTGAAAAAATATAAAATATCTGTGCAAAGAGACAAATTCCGCAACAGCAAAGCGAAAATATGAGTACTTGAAAGCTTGAACGGGTACGTTTTTGGCTCCCGGTGCAACTTTTGATGATACTTGGCTGAACTACAATAAAATGAACAAAAACTCTCTCATTCTTCAGAACATATCCAGTTAGGCAAACTGGGATGATATCAAGTCGAGAAAATGCAGAAATATTTGAAGATATTCCTAGCAGAAAAAAAGTTTTTTGAGAACAGAAAATGTTCCAAATAACGGAAGCGAACTGTTCTAAAAAAGACGTGCGTCGAATATGAATCGAAAAGCGAATACGAAGTCATAAAAAAAACTCTCGGGACCAAGAACGGATACTATGATCCGATAAAAATTGACCAAGATATTAAATTCACACCTTTTCATATTTTTTGAAGTGCATAACCAATTGAACAATGTCCCAGAAAGGTGTTGAAGAAGTGCGTGTCTGAGCCAACTGCCCTTCTAGCTGACAACCTCGATTCATAACAGTTTTCACACTTCACAAAGCGTGAATTTTCGGAATTTATTTTGCTCAGCATTTTTTTCAGAGTAAGTCAAATGACTCCTAATAAACAGGACTCTGGAAAAGTGATTCGAAAAAAGAAAATCGATAATAGTTTGTGAAAAAACTGTCCCATCAACCTTGGTATCTGCTGTTTCTTCAAGTTATGAGAAATTTAATTTTTTTCTTTTTGAAAAAAATTTTTATTTTGTCAATAAATTTCAACTCGTCATTGAAATGAAATAAAAATCTTTAATGAATAGGACGATATTGAAAAGAAACAACTTTTTTCTATAGTTCCACTGAATGTGTTCATTTTTTTATTAATTGAAATCTGCCGGAGTTTTTTTGCAAATTATTATTATAAAAAAAGAAAAGAAATGTCGATTGTAACTAAAAATTTTATTAATATAAAACTTATTCCGAAAAACTTTGTTTTTCTGAGAAAAAAAATAGACAGTGAAAGTTTCGAAATTCATTTTTAACATGGTCAGATGTCGTTGGCGCCTTTTTTTATTTTTTTAAATATTAGCGTATCTCAATTTTTCAATCAATTAAAAAAAATAAAATAAAAAAATTTCCCCTAAAAAGTTTAATCATTGTTAATTTGAAGCCAACGTTAAAAAAATAACAAAAAAAACACCGAAAAATTGAAGCATTTTGAACTGAATCTCTATGAATAAATTGTTTTTTTAGGTGGTCCGAACGTACGTGACTAATAATTGTTCAACTAACATAACTTTTTTTTTAACCAAAATAGTCGGTAAATGCTGTACTTTGAGGTGAAGTGCTGTATAGCGCGAACGCCTCCCAACTCCGAGAGATGTACGTGGAGCAGCGCAAGTGCGCTTGCATACAGTTTTGATATCGCGAGTTCGATCCTCGCAGCGATCATTTTTTTCATTTTTCATGAAAAAATAGCTTTTCTCTTCAAACTTGTGTTTTTATACTGTTTTAATAACTTATTATGACTTTGAAAACCGAACTAAACTACTTAAAAATTTAAATCCGATATGAAAACAAAATGAACGACCAAAAGTGTAAAATCTAAACTTTCAGTACTAAATTTCGCGACTTTTTTCACTACTGTTGTGACACTTTTTTTGTTCTCAACCTTTTTCGAAAAACTAAACTGTTTTGAATAGTAAATTAGAGCAGCTATCCAACCATAGTAATATTGAAGTTCGAAAATTTTTTGAAAGTTTGGCTGCGGTCCCTAGAAATGTCTTCGCCTTTTTATGCACCATCTTCGATATTTTTCATATTTCAGGATCCGTCGAAAGCTTATGAAAATATTGTTCAATGCAATGAATAAGTCATTTTGACTAATGAACACTAACTAATGAACAATGGATTCAATTCTCATCGTCTTAGAGAAACAGATTATTAAGTTGGTTATAATCCCATTTTATTGAATGAAATGTTGAAGGCATAAATTTCGTAAAATGCGTTAATTTTTTTAAAAGATACTTTTTATATTTTTCTCCTGAGGGCTTTCAATTGAAAAACGACTCAAAATCAGGTTTCCAGTGGCGGACTCTTTTTCAAAATTTTCTGAAATTGCTTCATTATTTGTTTACACTGGATTATAACTGACATATACTAAAACTTTTATGCTACAGATTGAGGCTGTTCAAATTGAGACCGAAAACATCTTGATTCATTTTGCCATTATTGAGCATCAGTTCGCCACACAAAAATGTCGTCACTTCGGCCAGTTTCTTGATCACAAGATTTTTTTTTTTGAGAAAGGACCTGAAAACAAAAATGATTCTTGAAAATATTCTTCAAGCTCACTTCAACTCCAGAAGAGTTGTGGAAAACACCGTATCGATGACCTCATGAACATCAAAGGGCTCCTCGAAAACAATCTGAAAATATCTTTCCTGAAAAGAAAGCGAGTTTTTCTGCGGTACTTAAGAAATAAAAAAGAAAACAGAAAGGATTTTAAAAAAGGTTAAAAAGGAATTTTCGACAGCAGCAACGAATGTGCGCCCTATGGCGACCCTCAACCGGGAAAGCGTTTGCGTCGGAGCGCTCAATTCTAATTTCTTTTGATCTTTTTTCTGATAGGTTTTGTTTTTGGTTAGAAAAGAGCGGGAAATAGACGGAGAGGTTTTTATGGAGAGCATTCTTTCGTCACAACGTTGCTTGTTGTTTGATTGGCATTCTCGTTCAAAGTGTAGAGTTTTGGTTGAGCTTCGCTCCCATGTTTCACGCTTTCACCTTCCATTTTATGTTGTTTGGCAGGATCTAGGTTTTTTTTTATTTTAACACCAGAACCTAGGTTGCTTTTGGATTCGAGACCTGAGTTTATGTTTTTTTTTGTTTGGAATTTACCCATGTTGGCCGAGAACTTCCTTTTAGATGGAAGAAGTTCTCAGGGTTTATTTCTGATTTTTGGTTGATTCATAATCAGGAAATCAGGACTACGATTCTTTTGAAAGGATGTCATAATTTAGGCTGAGTTTTTTTGATATTCGGAAACTGGGATTAGAATAAATCAGGATTTCGTTTCTTTTACCAAGTTTTACTATCGTAGCTTTTATTGTATGGCCTCCTGAGCTTTATCTTATACTCTCCAGAGCATAAAGAGTTGTATATGAAGCGTTTGTTTGATGATGATGAACCACAGTTATCTGGGATCACCGCCATCTACCCCGGAGTTGTCCCGCAGTCCTTTTAAGGAAGCTCCGGGCCCGTCGGCGACCTGGGGGCCGAACCAACATCCGCATAACGCATCAAATTCTTTATTGTTTCTATAATTCTTCGGATACAATTTAATTATTGGATTAATTTGCACTCGCATTCGGAAATGTTCGCATAAATTGAACTTGACAGGAAAAGGTTTAAATACCCAAGTTTGAGGTGTGTAAATGACTGTACAAGCGAACGAGATGTCATCGCCGATTGAAAACTCGGATGCGGATATGCCGGTGGCTGCTGACGAGGTCTTAGAACACGTGGACTCAGGTCCAGAATTGGAAAAGGACGAGTTGGAGGTAGTTACTGAGGATTTTTCAAAATTTTTTCAATAATGTTATTGATTTAAAATACAAGGACCTTTCTAGGAGAAATAAGTTGAAACTGAAATTCCTAGAAAAGCTTGAAAAGGATTCAGAAAAAAGGGAACAGGAGAGTTTACAGACCTAAGGACAAGGTACAGGAGCACAGGATGCTAGGCCAAGGAAAGAATCATCCTCCTCGGAATCCTCCTCTGGGATCATCGGCAAGATCAGTCCCCTGTCAACGGGGAGCGAAGAGGAACCGCAGAAAAGAGCTCACAGGTTCGCCAGGCAACGTCCGTCGTCGCCAACAGGTCGACGAGCGCGACAGGAGGAAGCCGCAGGGTGAGAATCTTGATCCTACGAATGAAACTCCGATTTTGGCGTTAGTCCAAGAAGATAGGAAGTTTATCTAGCATAGCTTATAGTACGGCCTCCTAAGTGTACGTGTTTTTTTTTCCATTGTCTGGTTTATGGGTTTTTTTTCTACACGTGGATCTCGTACTTCCTCTCCTGTTTTATTCCCGGTTTATCTTGTAATCTCCAGAACATAGAGATTCGTATATGAAGCGTTTGTTTGATGATGATGAACCACAGTTATCTGGGATCAAAGCCATCTACCCCGGAGTTGTCCCGCTTAGGATCCGTCCTTTTAGGAGAGGCTCCGGGGGAAAGTAGACGACATCTGTATTCATCCAAACAAAATAATTAACTTTTTCCATCAGCCAAAATACTCAGTAAAAACGCTTTACGATATAAAACGGAGACAAAGTAACATGTGGAGGAAACTTTAAGAGCAAATGAGTCGACCTCTTGCGGAAAAGATCTCACAAAGAAAAAATTTAAGAAACGGGGCCAGGAAGTATGATAATCTAAAAGTGAATATTGCTTAATGAAACTGATACTGATTTTTAAACGGAAATTTTTGATTCAATGTCGTTGATTGCCCAAGAAATTGACGACGATTGGCTTGGTGCACGTGAATAAAATTCATAACAAGAGTCCGTTAAATTTTCTTCAGCCCCAAATTTTCTTTGATATCTGAAAAAAAAACCCACATATGCTAGCTTAGCAAAAAAATACAGTAGTCTTTTTCTTCTCTACACTTTATTTTACTGTTCGCATCAGAACTCATGTTAAATCAGTCGTATTGCTGCTTTTGCCACCTTACGTTCTAATCAAATACCGAATACCTTCAAGTTCTCTTCACCTCTCAACTACTTCCGTATGTTTCAAACTTACGTGGTTCCAGTCCTTGAATATTGCTCCGAGCTTTTCTCACCCGCCATTTCCTCTGAGGAATCTCACAAACTCGAACCTTCACTCCGTCTCTTTAGTCGGAAAGTTTTCATTCGTTGTAATGTCCGTTTCTTTTCTTACTCCGATCGTCTTAGTCGATTTAATATCAAACCGTTATTCATTCGTCGTGAAATTTGTGATATTATCACCTTGCATAAAATCATCTGTGGCTCTGATCATTTTCTCGACCGTAATAAATTCTTCTCTCTTTCCCTTTTACAGAGGAATTCACTTCGACTACGGACTACTGGTCAGTTTTCTAATGACTTCTTTACTATTACTATTCCTCTTTGGAATAAACTAACTTCTTATTTAGATTTTAACGTTACCCCAGAAACTCTTCGTAAAAAGTTGAACGCTCTTCCTTTTGAAGCTTTTCATGAAAAATATAATAATAATAATAATAATTTACTCATCCACAAAGTGAAAAGAATAAATAAGGTTAAGAACCTGTTTTAGGTCACCCTCACGAGTGACTTCACCGTATAGGGAATACAATAGATACCACAGTTGATAAAATACACGTATATTGAGATTTTTGAGATCATAGTAGCCGTCTAGGGAGGCTGATGAATAATTCATTGTCGGGGATGTTGTCCAGATGAGATTTGAAAATTTTAGGAGGAACAGAGACGTTGAATCTAGAGCAGATTTTGTTCCAGATTGGAATCAGTATTGAAAAGAAAGAATCACATAAAGGGCCAGCCTGAACTAACCGCAGAGGATGCCGACCCGAATGAGAGATTCTAAAAAATATCCCCTCTCGTCTCCTATGAATTTTTCATATTTCCGGGTACCTGTCAACTCGTTGGGGTTGACTCCCGTGTGTTGTTATTTCTCTGCCTATCCTTCATTTGATCATTTATTCCTTAATTATTTTTTTTCTGTTAAATAACGGCAGTGAATAAATTATATATATATCTGTTTGAGCCTTTTCTGTTTTTCCATATTTTTCTCCGCTCCCTTTGACTACGAAATGCCCTTTTTCGGGTCAATCTTTTGTTGGTTTCACTGCAACCTTCGTCTTTGCATTTTGCTGGACAAAGAGGCGCGTGAGTGGGACGCGATCGTACGGAAGAGCCAAGAGAAAGAGTGAAATGAAAGAACGGCCAGGAAAAATGTGACCCCACTACCGGATTGGAAATCCTCCGTGACTTCTCGCAATTTCTCGCCTTCCTTGTGCCTCAAATTCTTTATTTTGCTTTCGTTCACGGACAAAACTTCAATTTTTGTAGAAAGAGAGTGAAAAGTTCCAAGTTCAATGAAAACTTCATGAGATTAGTGACGACTTTATCCAAATTTTTTATCGATGTTTCCTTTGTCAATTTGAATTTTAAAAAATGCGGTTATTCAATCTTTTCATCATTAATGTCAATTGATCGGGAAAAGCCGAATTTTGCTCACTACTATCTACAACGACGTAATTAAGGCATTCTTTTTTTCTCTCAAAAAAGAAACAAGGATTTCCTTGCCCTGCTTTATGTCATTTCCTCAGTGTAACAGTGTTGAAATCATAGACTGTCCTCCAACATCCGCACGACTTGAACGGGAATGGTTAGGGCGGCGAAACTTCTCAAGGATGCTCAATGACAGTGCCTAAACAAGCTTATAAGAGGCCGTCGTCTTTGATGGGCTTCACAGTTTTTTTCCATCCGGCGTTAGCTGTTCCTGCCCTTCGGTCGAATACATCAAAGCTCTTGCATTTTTTCTATTTCCTTTTTTCGAAATCTATTTCTTCGTAACTTTCTTTCTCCCACATACTCTGATTTTCAACGTAAACACTGATTTCTTTTAAGAACATTTTTTCACAATGCGCAATATAATTTTTTTCCTGCTGATAAGGTTACTTCATTCTAATGTTATTCAAACAACTAATGAAGACCTTCCTTTCGATGCTCAAGTAAGTTTTTCATTTCATTATTTTTAACCACAAATCTGTGACTTACAGAACAGTTTATTCGATGATATGATTCTTTTTCGATGAAATCGCTCCTCAGACGTTCACTGAAGTAGATCTCAAAAAAAGAGCGAGAGAACTTGAAAGACTGTTAGTTGACTGAATTTTTTTAATTTTTGTGTTTTTTTAGTGAATTTTTACAGCTGAAGCGAAGCACGGAGATGATCTCAACGCAGTATCATCCACGACTTCTGAAAATCCTTTTGTTGGAAACTACGCAGAGTTGACCATTGAGTCAAGTAAATTAACTTCTGTGGAATAAAATCCTTGAAAGTTTGCAGATACTTCGACGATTGCCCCACTGGAAACGACTGGCACAAATGTTCCTAAAAAAGAAGTTCAAGAAGAAGTTTATGAGAAGAAGAACGAAGAACTTACTGTGAGTTGTGTAGTTACAAGCTAAAATAGGAATTTTTCATCATAAAAAAAATCTGTTTTTTTGAATGAAAAAAAGTTAACTAAGAAAAAGATCTCGAAGACATAAGTTGAATAAAAAGTTCATGAGACTCTTTTTATTGAGCTCAGAAAAACTTGCGGCAATCTTTCTTTTTCTTCTCTTCACTAAGTGCCTTCCGCCTTCTTTCTCACAACGATTATACGTTTTGAGATTTTATCTGAAACTTTTTTTGTTAGTTTTTTTATGTCAACAATTCAAGCTCATCAGTGTACATATCACAATAACAAAATAATAAAATTTTATTTTACATCGACTTGAAAGTTTATGTTGGGTTTGTAGGTTGTCGAGTCATCTGGTGTTGAAGCAGAAAACTTTGAAATGGAGAATAGGACTTCGACAGTAGTCTCAACTGGTCAGTTGTCAATTATTTACTGTTTATTCTCTGAGAATTTCAGGAAACAGTGAGTCGGACAATTCCGCTGAAATGATGGAAAAAGATGAAGGATCAGCTGAGCCCGACGGAGATGAAACGAGTACTGAAAGTGTTAAAATTAAAAACTCAACCGAGGAATCCGCTAATCGGAGCGCAGAAATTGTCTTGGAAAGCGCCGAAAACTTCACTTATGAAAGCTCTGAGCCTTTCGAAGCGAAAATGACAGTAGAAGCTTTCCTTCAAACTATTCCCGAAATGCACGTAACTGCGAACGATAATACGCCTACAACTTCCTCTTCGACCACAACTTTGGCTTCTACGACAGTTACAGATGCTTCTGGTTGGGTTTTTTTTTTCTATTGTTCAAAAGATATTTCAAGATGAAATGTATTAAATTTAATATGTTGGATACGACCTTGATAAAGTCAATCGGAGTCTTCAACGCCTTTATAAGAAACTTTTTTTTCAGTCAAAAACTGTCCCCTACCTCGACTTTGCGCGAAGAATTGTTTCATCGCAATCAACGAAGATGGATGTCAGGATTGTCAATGTCTTTGGCAATCAATTAGTAAGCTCATATAAATAGATTGATGAGTGTGGGTAGTTTGCGAGTCCGACTCTGACTGTCCCGACCGGCAACTCTGCGATCTCGGACATTGCAACTGTAAGCCAGGCTTCAAGCAAGACATGCGTCATTCAGCGAAATGTGAGGTCGACTTGGAACACAGCCTGAAGACCAACGGTTCACTTATTTTCATGTCCTGAATAAATTAAGAATTCCCAGAAGTCTCAATTGGCGTCGAAAACAGAAATGAAATAGTTGACAGCGTCAATTCAAAAAAACTGGAGTACACGGACGACCGTTTCAGAGGCATTCTTGTAAATGATTCATTTTTTTCTGATTATTGAAAGCAATGATTTGACAAACCAATTCCAGGGCTCTCGAAGTCTTTCACCTTACCGAATTTGGAGTCGACACAAAAGAAACGCAGACTCTAGCGAGAGCTTACAATGGGCAGGTAGCCATGCTGCGGAATGATCACTTATTATATTTTTTGTGTTTCCTCAACAACTTGCGGTTAATAAATGTTTCAGTTTGTTTGCCTTTTCAGTTTGGAATGAAGGGAGCATGGGTGTATACATCGTTGATAAACGCTTGCTGGGCTCTTTGAAGACTCTGAATCATTGCAGAGTGTTTGTAGCTTCTGACGAATTTTTTGCTTATTATTAGAAAAAAAAGAACCATTTTTTTCGTATGCACAACTAATGTCGATAAGGTATAGTTTTATCACCAGCAAGAGTTTTGAAAAAAGAAACATCACACAAAAAGTTTTTTTTTTGCTAAATGGAACAAACGAGAGCACAGAGACACTCCCTAACCATGTCTGGAGAAGTTCGGGTTTCGAAAATTTTGGTTTTAGTAACCTGAATCACATCTCTAACCTGCACTGAAGTCTTTTACGTCAAAAACTTCTTTTGAGGATTATGTAAATCGGATCACGACTGTTCTCGTGAAATTGAATGCATCGGGTCCGACTGTTGGGCTCCTTCTATGAAAAGAAGGCATAATTTTCCTATTATCAGATAAAAAGCTTGAATTATAGATCAGAAGGGAAAACTTCCAAATCGAACCAAGTTTTCATTGTTTCCAGCAACACAGGTAACTTTTTACTTTTCCCAAATCATACGGAACTGCAATTTAGGAGATGAAACTCATGGAATCAAAACGCAAACTGCGGAAAGACCCTTTCCGGCTATGCTGAAACGGTGAGCTCGTGTGTTTGAAAAGATATTTCGTTCATTTTGTTTAGTGCTTTGACGCGGTTCACTTCAAAAGAAATGTTTGAAAAAGAAATACAAAGAACGACAACCAGCTTCCGGACTACCGTTTCAACTACCATAGCCCCGTTTGCTAAAGGTGACTCAATAAAAAAATGAAAAAGGCTATCGTTATTTTTTTTGCGAAGAAAAAAATGTTGTAAAAGGTTTAGAGATTCTCAGAAAACGCCCTGTTAAAGTCTTTAGAAGTCGATTTTTAGAGAGAAGAAATCAGATTTTTGAACTTTTTAATGGTAACAAAAGTCATCCATTTAGAAGCATCAATTGTTTCTGTTCCGCCGACAAGAAGGCCAGAGGAAAAACTTGAGAAGCTCACCACGATGTATGAAGAAATGTCTATCACCAAATCTTCCTTTTTTATAGAAAAAAATGCCAAAGCTATTCAATTTTGATCACATTTCGCAAACATTTGCCAAAATTGATCATCCTCCGCCAGATGCGGTAAGAGTTTTATAGAAATTATTTTTTTCATCCCTCTAGTCTATTTTTTAGCCACCACTGGCATTTGAGAAGTCAAATCCGCCAGGTTTTCATCTCGATAACATTGGCAACGACTTTGACTTGTAGGTCTGCCCGGCATCTTTATTAAAAAACGATTTCAGAAGCAAATTGAATGGTGTCGAATTTCCAATAACTTCCAAAGTTTCATCTCTCACGAACGATGGTCCGAATATAAACTCACCTTCCGTATTGAGCACTGAGCCGCATGACGAAGAAGATTTTGAAAACCAGAGCTTCATGCATATCTTCGAAAAAAACAAAAACCCTTTGTCCGTCAAGTGATTTTCAATAGTGCTTTTCTGATTTTTGCAGCCCTGAATTCTCCTCGGCCGCTTTTTCTTCGTTTTCAACTACAACCTCGGCGACGGCAACGACAGAGGGAGTGGAAAACGTTTCTGAAAACGAAGAATACCCTGTAGAAGATGAACAAATGGCTTTTCCCTCTTTTACGGTGGCACCAATTTTTTCTACGACTACTCGGAAAGAAAGAAAAAGTCACGCAGCTCACGTTTTGCTACCGTCGAAATTCACAACTGTTGAGCCCTTGGCAAGAGAAATCGTCGAAAGATTCGAAGAGGAAAACAGAGAAAGCACACCTATACCTGCTCCTTTCGAGCAACACCTGGAAGGAGTATGGTATCCTATGAGAAAAGGGGACATACCGCATTTAGGAATATTTGGAGGAGAGTTGAGGTTGGCAGTTTCATCTATTGACTTTTTGTAGATGTCAGGCTTTTTCAGGAGAGCGCCTCAAAAACAAGGAAAGTCTGCTGAGAAAAGATTGTACCATGAATACACCAGAGCTAACCGGCGTGGCAAACCTGTTAAAGTCGAAGTTCAGAATGCTAGAAGTGAGGAAATCAGATCTTGCACAAAGTTGAAAAATGATAATCACAGAACTGATGAACGACGAGTGCGAAACTCGAGAAGGTTGTGGTCCACGGATGGTTTGCTGTAAAAAACGGTGGTGCGATAAATCGAAAAAATGCGGCATAGCTAGGTGATTCACATACTCATCGACTCAAAAGAAAGATTTTCAGGTTTTGCTTGCCGTCCTGTGATACTACAAAACTCACGTTTTTGCCTTCGGAGCCGAGATCAGTAGGAATCATTGATATCATATACGACTGATAAGATTATAAATTGTACAAAACCATAAATAATGATTTTTTATTCAAACTGCATGTTAACAAAGACAAAAAATTGGAACTGTAAACAAAGAATGACTAAAAAAGGCTGACTGGCTTTTGGAGAGGAAATTAATAAATATGACGTCACTGCTAGGACCCGTCGAAATAGCACAATCTTCTGAAAAGCCCTGACAACAAGAGAATTGCGAATTCAGATGAACTGGCTGAGTTGTACAGTGAAATCTTGGAGACCTTGGACGACTTGGGCGGCAGATGGGCGATCTTCTGCGGGAGATCGCCAACAACAGAGCATAACTTTGTACCTGAATCCATTTGGATCAAGAGTTTTCTATGATCCTTTAGTTCTAATTATCTGGACGAGCTTCCAAGAAAGACTCACATCTGTTCTGGGCAGTTACCGGGTGGCGCTAGACGGATTCCTTTGGTCAACATGGAGTAAACGTCTTCGGGGTCGACGTCTGTGAATGGAGTGCCGCCGAGAGTCATCAGCTCCCACAGAAGGACTCCCAGTGACCACTGAAAAGTCGAAATGTTGTGAAGCATGCAAATAGATACAACTCCCAGATAATACTGATCGATAAGATTAAGCTTCATTTAGAGAATTTGTTATCGAAAGAGTTAATCCAAACCACATCGCTAGCAGAAGTGTGTGTGCCGGCGGCAATAGCCTCAGGGGACATCCACTTGAGGGGCCTGTTTTCGTTGTCGCCGAGGCAATGGTAGTCGCTAGCGAAAAGATCTCGAGACAAAGCGGAATCGCACAATTGAACCTGAAGGCGGTTGTTCACCTCCGCCACCAGACAGTTTCTGAATTTAATCAAAATTCGAAAAGTGTTTCGACGGATGGGAAACCTAGTAGCAACATCTGTGTGAACTATCCCGTGCTTGTGAAGGTGAGCTAAAGCGGAAGAAATTTGCAGTCCCATGGCAACCAACTGATGAGTTCTCAAAGTTTGGGCTCCTGAAACTCGGTCTTTTCTGAGAAACGTCAAATGTTCAACCTTTGGCCTTGTCGCCGTGTTTGCAGTTGGCCAAAAATTTCTTCAAGTTTCCAAACCCTTGATGACGGTAACAGATAAGAGGGAAGTCCATCATAGTGTCTGGTCGATCAAATCTTCCGAAAGATGCGGCACAAGCGACCTGTTGAAAGTATGAATATGATTTTGATTTTTGAAAAAACCTGAGCCAAGTTAGGATGAGGTATGATACCATAAAACGCTAGAGAATCGGACAGAAAACGGTCCAATTGCACGGTCGATGCGTTTTTTTTCAAAGTTTTTGTGTACACCTTTAAAAAAGATTACACTGACAGCTATGAATGTCTTGCCAGTTACCGCTTCTTGGTTGCACACAGCGTCTTCCTCATCATCGATGTCACCGTTTTCAATATCATCGGGTTGACGCCAAATGGCGAAGCGTACTTCGCCGAAAGTTCCTTCCATATCTATGAAAGGCAGTGCTTGGAATTGCTCCCGATCTTGATACAACGCCACTAAAGCTTTCCGAATGTCGATCTGAAAAACTCGAATTGAGAGAATGAACTTAATTCCTCACATTTCTTGGTTTCTCGGTGAAAATCGCATAAGTAGAAGAAACGGAGCAAGGCACGCTAGATGGAATGGCCACCGAAGATGACGCTAAAGATACATACTCAGTATAAACTTCGAAAATGAAAATTACCAGAAGGTTGGCTACGAATAAACGGTTGCGCTGCTTTGGTAAACTTCATGGATGCACGGAAGGAGGTTCTAATACAAATATTAAGTTTTTTTCATTAACCTATAATCTTCGCCCACGGTAATCTTTGTGGTGCAGGACATTCCTCTTTCTTGGCTCTTTTGAAATAGCAAATCAGGGCAGCGGCAACGATCAAAAGGAAAGCGGCGGCCACAAAAATGATGAAGAAAAAGACACGGTCGATGGAGCCTTCCTCCTCGAATTCAAAGCCGTCGTAGGCGCCTGCAAACGAAGTTCATGACAAATTCACCATTGTTCAGGGCGGCCTGCTGTCCGCAAATCAATCACTCATTAAATATGGCGCCATAAAACATTCCCGCACATAAAGCTCCTGGAGGATCGCACGCAAACTTCCTATGCACAGAATGGAAAAAAACGCGTAGGTTGAAAATCAGATTTAAAATATGAAATCACTGGTTTCCGCATCTTTTTTATAATATGAATATGTGCAAGAATGTCAAAATTACTACATGTTTCCATGATAACACAGTTCCTACATCGTTTCAAAAGCTCACCGGTAAGCCCACGACGGCCGTCTTTTGACTCGCAAATTTTTTCTTGCTTCAGGCGAAGAGGGAGAACCGTGTCGTTGTAATAAAAATGGAAAAATATGCTTATTGTGAATTGCCCTGAACGATGCCCCGCGCAACGATATTCAATGTTGAATTCTGAATGTTTTATATTGATTTTAGCTCAAAGTTTTTGAATGAATCGATGGATAAAAATGAAAAATAGATTTGTAAACCTTGATAGTGATTCGGAACAGTGCCCTTCAAAGGAATTCGAACGATGGGCAGCACCGACGAATCGTCAGATTCAGCTCGAACATCATACTCCACCTAAATCCCTTTTTTTCTCAATTCTTTTTTTTTCGATTACCGCGCCCTCGGCGTTCCAAGTAAAAGAAACGTGGTCAATCTTTGACATGACCCTGTAGTGGAACTTGGTCGAGTAGGAGTTGACGTTGCCGTTTTCAATGTAATTGAGTTCGGCTTTCACTCCTGAAAACCTCTTGTCATACACTAAGTGCTCTTTCAAAAGAAACCACCTAAAGTTCGATTCATCTCTTCTTTGCTGATGTACATGTTGACGCTCGCAAGAGCCGGAGCGGCGAAGTAAAAAAATTTCAAAAAGTTCATCCCATTACTCGTGTGGCTTCAAAATACCTTCAAAAACTCTTTGGAAAAAATGTTGCAATTAATAATAAGAAAACAGTCATAAAAAACTTGAGCTCGTGAATGGAAATAGAATCCGTCGGAGAAACACCTCACAAAGCAGTTTTTGGAAAAAAAAGTCTGTTAGGAAAAAGAAGAAGAGAAAAAAGTCAGTTTTGAAGCACCTTCGCAGCGGAAAAATGATTGACAACAGGGCGTTCAGAATGGCAGTGTTTATCTTTCACAGTGTAACTTTTAATCACGCAACATATTTCAAAAAGAAGATTTTCCCGAAAGTTTGATGGCAAAAGGAGGAAGTAAGCGTTTGGATAAATGATACATCATTTGAAAAAAAGAAAAAGTTGATTGATGACTGAATATTAGGCAGAAAAAAAGGGAAGTTCTTATTTATACATCTTTTCCAGAGAACCCCGCAGCGTTTTGAGAAAAAAATTTTGATGGCAATTCCCAACTTGAGGAGTAGGAGAAAAAAGTGGTCACGCATATATCGGAATGACTGGTTCAGAACGGGAAAAAATGAAATTCAAGACGATGAGCAATGAAAACAGACGCCTGAACTTGGACAAGGGCAGGACAGGAAAAAAAAACGACATGAAGGAGAAATCGGCGGTTGAAATATCTTCTTGCACCTCAGTATTCACAAAAGGAGACGCGGCAAATGCGATTGTCCATCAAAATAGAAGCTCTCAAACGACAGAGGCTTTTCGTGTTCGGAGGCTTGTCAAAGAAGAAAGCATTCATTGAAAGAACTATTTAAAAACCCTCAACAACTTGAAGAAAAAAAGAAATTGAATTTCAATTACCTTTTTAGGAAGGAGGTCAGTTCTATTTTTACTCTGGATTTCTACACATTTTGCTCGATTATGAATAAATTCCTCAGATGCTGTAATCTGAACCGCTTTGTATTTTTCGAAAACATACGTTTCGAAGCTTCGGTTTCTTGCACGGTGTCCAGTTAAACAACGCTTAGAACTTCTTTTCTCATAAAATCAAAAGTTGGAAAAGTTTTGAATTTCAGGAAAGTTGATCTGCGTTTCTCAGGCATTTTGTTTTTGTTATATCTTTTTACATTAAATGTGACTAGGAACGTTTCTCCGAAGATTCAATAATGCTGAATGAAATGATACAGTGACGTACCAGTTCCTCATGGGGAATCAAAGTTTTTGAAAAAGCTCATAAGTGTCTGAATCCTTGATACTGGAATTAACCAAAACAAAGCTGAGAGCGCGAAAGATTCTTCTCGAGTGTGGTGGCAAATATCGGTTGATTAGCCGCGATCTGGCCGATCATGATGAATGATCAAAACAGAGACGGCCTTATCCCTTTTTCTCGTGTTTCTCAAGACTATTACCGATGAATGGCGTGTACACGGCTTTCTGAGAGAACCTATTGTTCAAAACAGAAGAAAATCACGAAGTTCAAAAAATGAGAACGAGATGGATGAAAAATCTTTGGGAGGACATCACGCCTTCAACAAATACGTAATTCCGTCTTTTCCGCGTCTCGAATTACAGCTTCCCAAAACATTATAATGCATCGCAAAAGAAAAAAAAATTGGTGGCGGATGAACGGGCCATTATCGAAAGGTTAGAATGAGAGTGGGAGGACGGCGCGGACGGCATATGACAAATTGTGAGAAATTTGTGACTTGCCATTATTATATGTTGCGGAGAAGGTTTTCCTTTTTTGAAAAAATGGGTTCTGAGAAAGATTTGGGGGCGTTGGATGTCAACTCAGAAAAGGTTTGAACCTTCCAAAGCCAAAAAAATCTTTTTTTCACGGCGTTTTTGGAATCTTGGAAAGCTTGGTCTACTAATAAATGGTTTATCAGTCCACTCTGTTTGAATGTTCATATTATTTCAACAAATTAGAGTGAAGAAACAATAATTTTTCCTGAGAAAGACTCGAAACAAAACTGAATTTTTTTGCAAGAATTGGCACTAACTGTAACAGCCTAGGAATTCCGATTTATTTTGCTGTTATTAACACGACTCCATAGTTTTCGAGAACTCTCGCAGAAGATCATGAAGATAGTAGTTTTCAACTATTAAAACAAACAATCATTTTGTAAGAAGTCAAAGTCAAAGAACCTGAAACTCATGGAAAATGGGAGAAAGCGGGAAGAAGGCTTAAGTGTCATAATAAGAGTGATGGTTGCAGAAAGAGGCGTGCGAGTAGCCTTGCGTAAGCAACTGTCGCGGCTCTTTTACCGCGGCGCAACATAGAAAAAATTTTTTCACACGCCGTGCCCTAAGAGAAAAACCGACAAAGAACAACGGTGCCGCAAATTGGTCGAGTCTCGGGGCGCCGCTGGTTGAAATTTCGAACGTCAAATTGTGTGGCAAAAAGATGCTTGGATTTATAGCGGTCATAAAATGGGCAAATGTGTTCGTTTCGAGTGGGAGGTAAAGAACTCCTCGGGCGTTATCCTCGCCTTCTCAATACCTTCACACTGACTCTCCAGTTTGCAACACTCTTAAAATCTTTCAATCGAAATCGGATAAATCCAAACGCAAAAGGAATGAGAAATCGAGGAGTTTGTTCAAAATGTAGTTTTTTCCCTTCTGATGTGAAGCCTTACAGCTATAAACAGCGGAAATGAAACAATCGAAGGGAATTTACATCAAAAAAACTGAAAATATTCCAAGACGAATCCGTAAAAGCCTTACCCAAAAAATAAGTTTTGGAGGGAAAATTTTGATCAGTTGCTTTTTTTCTTTTTTTTCAACCATACATTTTTTTTCAGAAAAGTGAAAAAAAGTGGAACTGAAATTATTTTACAAAGAAATGAAAAGAAGAACATTACGATGATTTCCACTCCAATGTGTGGCCACTCGTGACCACGCCCCACCCCGTCAATTGAGAATTTACGAGCAATCGCTTATAACTCAGCGTCACAGTCACGGCGAGCCGCAAACTTTAGTACATCCAGGCATGAAAGACTCATAAAACGGCAATTTAATGAGTGGCCATCAGTTTCCCGTTTTTTCCTGGAAGCTGCGTGCTGTGATTATAGGTATGGTATTGTGAGAAAATAAACGAGGCACTTCTTTTCGTCTTCAAAAATTACTTTTCTGGCCAGGGCGTGGAATATCGGCAATTTCTTTAGGAGTGAAGAAGGGTTTTTCACTCCGAGCATAGATTTCTCTGAAAACTCACTCAAAAACTCTTTTTTCATCAAACTTGAATTTCTCACCTTTCTTTCAGAGGGACATCTGATATTTTTTTTTCATAACTTTTGTTACAGGGTTTTATGAAAATAAACTTTTCCATTCAAATTTTCAAATGCGTCAACCTTCCCTGCCAATTTACTCAACTTCAACTACTTTTAGAAAAAGCATACAAACACTAAATATAAATTTCAGTAAGAAAAGGGCAAAAAAAAAAACGGAGAAAGGGTGAAAAGGTAGAAACAACGTATCGCGTGCTCTCGCGTCTCCCAAAAAAAGGGTTGATTAGTCATCACCAAAAAAAAAAAACGGGACGCATACCATCTACCTACAAGTCAGCGAGTCTCAAATGTGACGATTCACTAGATTTACAGCGAGAAAATTTCGAGATAACCATCCGAAGGCAGAAGAACGGGAATTGAGGACGGCTGGAGCAAAAAAAAAAGACTGGCATACGAAACATGAAGGTCGGCACGAGTTCTTTTACATGGAAAGATGGCTAGAATCGATATATGTAGGAAAAATGGTAGTAAAAATTTTCATAATGAACACGTTCTGAAATTGAAAAAAATGGTTTGTTCTTACCTTAACTTTTTTTCGAAATTGAGAAATATTTGAGGTCAAAGGAATTTTTTTGATTTTTTTGTGAGAAGATGAAATTTTTTTGAAAAAAATTGGGAGCAGTTAAAAAGCAAAATCTATAAATAAATTCCCAATTCTTCGTCTGTCGGAAACATATTTAGTCGACTAGATCGTGGAAGAGAACAGCTAGAATTATTTTATTCCACATTTTTTTCATGTAAAGCTTTTCTCAAAAGCATACTTGAACTGTCAGAAACTTGCAGGAGTAAACGGACGGCACCGTTTTGAGAAACCGTTTTATCAAAGTGATTAAAGTATCAAAAACAAAGATAGGAGCAACGGACGCTTTCAGGTCGCCGCTCACTCGACATCGCTGCCGTTCCTAATCCCTTAACTGCAGAGTCTCAACTCACTTTTTTTCTGAATTAGGGTTTTTCAAGATTCTCCGAAAATGGATCGTTGCAGTTCCTGCTTACTATTTTTCAGTCGATTTACCGCTAGCTCAGAGATCCATAATTTTTAAAAAAAGAAAAAAACTAATTTTTCTCAATGAACTATGAACAAAAAAAGCGGACTACACCGATATAAAAGCTTCTATATACGGAAAAAAAGAAAGAGAAATCCAGAAAAAAAAACCAGGATTTCCTGACCGCTGGCCATTAGAAACGGCAACAGGCACGACACCAACGAGGAATAAATCGCGAGAAGCGTTCTGAGCGATGACAGTTGAAAGCGAACGGAGAGATGGTCACACGTCTTCGCCTGCCGCACGGCGACAAATGAAAAATGCGATCGGTCCAACGAGACAATGAACCAAGCAACTCCCAAAAAGCACGGCCATGGGCAAAACGGGCCAAAAAACGTGCAATTTGGTTGTCTGTCGACAATTTTCGAAAAATCCTCGAGCAAAACAAAACTCAGGAAGCAACTGAATCATAAGCTCTTTCATGCTTTCGAGAAAAAAAAAGAACGCAATACAAATTCATGAAAGGTTTTTGTTGGTTTGAAAGTATTCCGCAATAGTAAAAAGAGATTTTTACCAAAATATCTTAATTTAACTGTTTGTCTGAATTTTGTTTTTAATAAAGAAATCTTATTTTCCACCTCTAAATTACATCAAACTTCACGTTTGCGACTGAAAAAAAATCGCGAAAAACATCCGAAGATTCTCTTTCAAAGTGACGCTTCAAAACAGACTGTTTGATTGATATA